GGCCAAACTCAAGGCCTCGATCGCCTGGGGCCTACGGTCGCGGAGCCGCAGTTGCCCGTGTTGGATGTCGTTGCGGAGATTCCGTCGGTCGAACCAGAATTTCAATCCTCCTCCAACCATACTCCCGCTCCTTCCTTCCCAAAGCGTCCCAGTCTAGGCTCCCGTCGTCAGTCGCTGCTGGCCCCGTCTCATCAACACCTGATCAACAGCCTGTTGGATCCCGGTTTGACCGCAGAGCCTGAGACTAACGGTAACGGTCGCTCCGCCACCTACAGTACAGGCATGTCTCGCAAGATCTGGGTCAAGCGGCCAGGCGGATCGGCCACCTTGGTCCCCATCTCGCTCGATAGCTTGGTGGACGAGCTACGGGACCAGGTGATCCTGAAGTACTCGAACTCGCTTGGCAGAACCTTCGATGCCCCCGATATTGTCATTCGCATTACTCCGCGAGATGGATCGAATAGGCAGGCTACTCCTGATCGGATGCTAAGCCCGGAGGAGCCGCTGGCAAGCGTGGTGGACTCATATTACCCCGGTGGTCAAGCTATCGAGGAAGCTTTGATTATCGATATCCCTTCGCGTCGCACTCCAAAACCTTCTCCACGCCATTCAGTATACTACAACCATCATCATTCCGAGCCGGGCGAGCATGGCGAGTACTTTCCGCTCATGCCGGCGAATCCCAGTGTTCCCACGCCGCCGACGCATCCGTCTACCTCGTCCGCCAGTGTTAATGCTCATCCCGCCCCATCAATATCAATACTGACAACAGGAATGGCCCCTCCGCTGCCCTCGCCAGGGAGTCGCGGGACTCGACATCCCCGTCGGCCGCCCCTGACTCGCCATGCCACCAACTCACCCACCATCCTCAATCAGGCGCCAACAGCGAAAGGTGGGTCAACTCTAACTTTTAACGAGCTACAAGACGTCGCATGCAACTGCTAAGAAACTTGCTAACTTTGTGAGTAGACTCCGGGATCGTCCCCAGCAGTATCCCTCCGCAGCCTGCTCCGTCCATTCCTACTCCGCCAGGCCCGCCGCCAGAATCCCCTCAGGCCAAATCTCTCACCCCTCCAGCACGCGGGGCATCCCCGCGTCCACGTCCCTCCACATCCTCTGCGAAGCCGAAGAAGACCAGCGCAGCACAAGCATTGAGCGGGGTCTTTGGAGGCCTCATCGAGGGCACGGTACCGCCCATCAACGTCTTGATCGTAGAGGACAATAACATCAACCAACGTCTCTTGGAAGCTTTTATGAAACGTCTCAGCGTCCGCTGGAAGTGCGCGGCGAACGGTGAAGAGGCGGTGAACAAGTGGCGCCAGGGTGGTTTTCATCTTGTCTTGATGGATATCCAATTGCCCGTCATGAACGGCCTGGATGCGACCAAGGAGATCCGCAGGCTCGAACGCCTGAACGGTATCGGTGTGTTTCCCAAGACTGCTGACGGGCGGTCGAGCGCTGCCACTGCCAATGCGGCCTCTCCCTCGGCAATTGCGGGCAGTCGGGAACCTCTGAAGGCAGAGGATACATTACACGACCTGTCTCTGTTTAAAAGTCCCGTCATTATTGTAGCCCTGACCGCGAGCAGTCTGCAGAGCGATCGTCATGAGGCTCTTGCAGCTGGCTGCAACGACTTTTTGACCAAGGTAAGCATATATTTTCTCGGACTATCGTTCAATTTCGCGCTTCTATCGCAACATGCTAACATATTGCGAAGCCGGTTCGCTTTGAATGGCTGGAGCAGAAAGTGACAGAATGGGGCTGCATGCAAGCCTTGATCGACTTTGAAGGCTGGCGCAAATGGCGCGGTTACGCCGATGACACTCAGCCTTCGCCCACGTCTGATGGCCATACGAGTCCCATGCAAACTGGCGGAGACGGAGTTTCGCGGAAACAGTCCCCTGTTATACCACTCTCACCATCCTCTACTTTGAGTCAAGGAGCCACCAAGAAGGACCGCAAAACCCCTAGTTTCCCTAAACCCATCGACGTTACACCCGAAGACTCTTCCGGCAGTGGTAGCGGCGAGGGCTTGGACTCACCTGCCAGTCCTGTAACATCAGTCCCTGTTCCAGACGGGCCTGCAGATCTCGATGCACTCTAGTTGATCCTCATGCTATACAATTTTCCTCCTAATGGGGATAATATCACATCGACCGATTGTCAGACTGCTGCGCGCCTGTGTGATTGAGCACATTACGTGCATGTTTGATCTTCTATCTCTCTCCCTACCTCTCTCATTTCATCTCATCTCCAAAACCGCATTTTCCGCTATTTTGCGTCTTCCAATGGATACCCAGCATAGCCAATCGTCGATCTTATTTTCTTCTTATTATACTCCTTTGCCTTCCTGGTGTCCGCGGCCCCCCCGGACGCGGTTGTCATACACTTCATTCCCTTTGTTTGTTCGTTCGTGATCAACTTCCAACTTCACAGGCGTCTCTGATATATTTTTTTCCATGGTTGGTTGCTTTGGGAAAGGGGCAAGGGATGGAAGGTGGCATACTCACGTATACGAATCGAGATGTCGTTTTTGTCGTTTTCCTGTTATCATTCTTATCATCTTTATGCATCTACATGTATGCCGCCTTTGAAGGGACTTGGCCCTTCTGTCTCTTGTGTCTTGTGTCTGCTTCGTAGAGTTGCTCTTGATGTACATAGATCATTTTGTCGATTGGATGGGTGGTTTTGCCCTCCTTGCACTATATATCACTATGTAACTTATTTTTCTTTCATTTTGTTATTCTTACTGAAATCGTGTATCGATCATATTGTGAAACAAACAGCCATTAAAGACATATATATCTTGTTCAACTCTTATATGTAGTGTAGTATTGAAGTATCCGGTTCGAAGAGAGGTAGGTAGGTGATAGATAATAGTAAAAGGGCTATAGATACATATTCATGACTTCCAAGTAGAAGAGGAAATAAAAAGATAAAAATGGGTGGGTGGGGTAGTAACCGAACAAGCTCCTCGGAAAAAAAAAAAGGTGAATATCAATCGATCAACCAGTCGAAAGGACTGTATCGTACAGCTGAAATACAAGGCAACCAAGAGGGGCATACAAATACATCCACCGTCCATACCGCACTGCGAGATGGACGGGCTATACAGGGAGGGATCTTTCATGTCATTGGGGAGGAAATAAACATGATTGACGAAGAAAGAAGGGGGGTGTAATCCAAGGTCAAGATTTGCATGCTTAGACCTCCACACGGGTGGGGATCTTGACCTGGCCCTTCTTCCGGTCGTAGCTGGGGACACCGTATCTGCGACCAGGAGCCCGAGCGTTGCGACCATCCTTGCCGGTGGTTTCCTGGCTGACGACAACGTCGTTGATACGGAACTCGAAGCGAGAATCCTCGGGCTGCACACGCTGCGTCTGCTTCTCCTTACGCTCCTGGGCGAGACGCTTGCGCTCCTGATCGGCAGCGTCTTGCGTCCTGAGGCGAGCCTTGTAGAGCTTGGGGTGTTGGCGAAGCTCATTCGGTACCTCATTTATGTCACGGGTACTTGTGACCATGTGCGGGTGCGGAATACGCACGTCCGCTGCCTGGAGGACCTGATGCTCCTCATCGCCCTTGCCGACGAGCTCGATACGCGAGGGGTTCTGAGTAACCCGGCTGATGGCCTCAGAGGGATTAGCAACATCCTTGGCAAGCTGCTTGTGTTCTAAAGCCGGGGCAGCGGAGAAGACACGGCCAGCGTCAACACGGTTGAATTGGCGGGACTCAGAGACGGGATAGAAGATTTGAGGGTTGGTGAGGCGGTGGACGGGCAGGTCGTTGATTTCTTCATGGGCCTGCTCGGGAGGCGTTACGGGAATCATTTCATGAATGGCACGAGCGTAAGGCACAGCCAAGGGTTTACCCTGAAACAACAAGTCTGTTAGTTGCGTTCGACCAAAGTACGGGCAGCATGAACAGAGCTTGTGATAGTAAAAACAACAAGAGAGAATCGGTGCATATCAGAAAAATAGGCGTTGTAACCATTCCCAGTCAACTGGGTCATAAAGACTAATCGAATTTATAATTTTTCTCATCATTGCACACCGCGGGTATGTCCGCTTTGAAAGGCAGAAGGGTAGGAGGGGGAACGCATTGGTGATGACTTGGAAGGATCTGTAAACATACCTGTTTCTCCATCCGCTTTTCTAACTCGACCAGCCGGACTACAGCAGCGACTCTCCTCATGTCGACCTTCAGCTCGACACTGACAGCACGCACACTCTTTTTATTTATTACTACCCGGTTGTAGATCTCCGTCCGCAGCTCCTCACTGAGGATGCTCTCTGAGCGGTAGGCAGGATTTGCCGGGAAAACTCTGTTCTCGACAACCGGTGAATCCTTGAGTTTGGGATTGGTCCGAATGAGGTAGTTTGTTGAGCCTGGAGTATGGGTTCTCAACTTAGCTGCGTCGGTGTTGAGCCACGCAAACATCTCTCTGCGACGTCTAGTAGTTTGAGGGGCCGGCGTGGACGAAAATGACCGACACGAACGCCATGACTCCTGTGATGAGGGGCATGTGGTAGCTAGCCTGGGAAGATATGTGGAGGAGGATGAGGTAGAGGATGTGGAAAGGTAGGGGAGGAGAGAGTTGGAGACGACCGAGTTCTGTATTCGGGGTGCCATGTTGTTTAAGGGGAATAGGGGGTGAGTGGGTAAGAGAACAAGGATCTCCGACGTCAATGGACCAGATTCCGAGTAGAAACAATCCAATTGACGGGGTAGGGAGTTTAGTGGAGGAGGGGAAGGAGGAGGGTGGATGATATGGAGGTTCAGGATGGAAAGAAAGGCACGAACTCGACGGAAGAAAAGGAAGAAACTTTTCGGCGCGGTGGCGGTCACGTGAAGCTACCGGTGGTGCGGCGCTTGGCCCGATTGGGGAGGAAGCTCTGGACGGTCCCGCCAGCAATTCTCACTATTGGCTTCGGCTTCATTCCCCACGGGCTCCCAACAAGAACTACGAACTTTCTCCCTCCAGGTCTATGACTGTCAAATGTTCTTAAGTGAATGACCGGTGCAATTCCATTGTTGAAGCTGGTACATGTAGAGCAATTTCCCGCGAAGTTAAAAGAAGGGAAGCAAATTCAACACGCCTCTTTTCCAGGGTAAATTCCCGCTCATCAACAGATCCCCCCCGGCAAAGGGACAAATAGAAAAATCAAGACTAGCAAAGGTGACGAAGAAATAAATAGGGTAGTAATAGCCTCCATGACTCCCATGTAACCCAAGCAATGACGGAAGAGCAACAACGCTGCAAAACACGATGCGAATAAGGGACGGAACAATGCGCTACAATCCCAGGCGGCCAGCAGCAGCCAACACATGCCTTGGGATACACCCCTTGCCCAATGATCAGAGTAAGACAGATAGATGACGTCCCAGAAATGTATCTCAAGTGTATAGGTACCCAGGTAAACGCCCCGCACAATGATTAGCTGTTGTCCAGATGAAGGCTGCAAACAATGTATCACAACACGGGAGGGTGGTCGGTAGCTCAAACAAGATCCAGTACAAAGAATATCCCTCCGGGATTTCCGGGATTTCTGGCTTTCTGGTCTCGGCCAACGCATCCTTCTCCCATCCTGCGTGATTGAGGGGGTCAAACGAAGGGCTGAAAGGTTTGATCAAGCGAAACGATCGGCAATTTCCCACATGTAGACAGTAGCACGCACACAAGAATGGAGAAGAACGGACAGACAATCGAAGCCTCCCCTCTCATAGGAAGGAAAGGCAGAGAAAGCAACTATTAGGAAAACATCTGAATAGATAACGCAACAACACGGCACAGGGTATGAAGGTAGTGCAAACATGACGACAGGGCAAGTGAAACAAGCGAAGTTGGCAATGAAAATCCACACGGGCTCCTGGACGTATTAAAGAGAAACCCATACGCGCACAAATGCAATGTCTCCCACCCAAGAAAAGAAAAAACAACAAACACGACATGTATAGTAACAGCGCCCCTGATCCCATGCTATCGGAGTGCACAGCAAACGAATGGAATACAATCATAGAAAGCAAAGCTGAAAAAGCGAGAGCCCCGTGGTCCTTACTCCCAGGAGGAAGGCGAGCCTCCAAATGCTGATCTAGCTCATGAATTAGAAACAATAACAACCCCCAATGCGCCAGGTAGCCCAGTGATCATCAAGCATGTCGGACATTATCTCCACAGAAACGTGCACCTTCCTACCGACCCATCATATAATCCGGGTAGTAGGAATTGTAGCCACCCACATTGGGTCCCGAAGCTCCGCCGGTGAGCTGAGGTGGCGGGGACACCATTGCGTTCATCGGATTTGTCCGAATTCCAAGTCCCGAATTGGCATTGAAGGTACCGTTGTTGGGCAATGGTGCATTTGGACTCCCGGAGGGATGCATGGCACCGTTGCTCCTAACTGCCACGGGAGGGACCAAGCCTGGAGGCGCAGACAGGCCCGGTGGCGGTCCACTGACCGTCGAAAACATGTGGTTATGCATTCCACCGAGACTGCTACCCCCAGGCACACCACCTTGAGAGGCCATGGCATTAGACGCGCTCATGGAGCCGGGCTGTCCTGATCGGACCCCGAGGGGGTTCTTCGAGAAGCTTAGACGGATGCCGGTCTTGATGCTGTTGGATAACTTCACGCCATACAACTCGTTCAGGGCTTTGCCAGCGGTGCCCACGTCGTCAAATTCCACGAAGCACATCGGCCCATTCTGTTTGTTTCGGAAGCACAAACGCTTGTATCCACGCTGCTTAGAGAACAGAGCCTTCAGCTCTTCCTCGGAGGTATCGGGGGGTAAGTTCCCCACGTATAATGTATTGCATGGAGGGTTCATGTCGTTCGGGTTGGCTGCAGGGAGACTATGGCGAGGTACATGCGGATTACCATAAGGGAACACATGGCCCGTCCCGATGTTATTGTTCATCGATTGGGGAAAGGTCGATGGAGGGTTTGGAACGCCGACGTGCGCGTTTCCTCCTTGGTTGTAATTCGGTAGTGGAGGGGAATTGAGATTGCCAGCCAAAGACATGTTGGCAAACTGGTTACCCAGAATCTGAGGGTTCGTGGAACGTCGAGGGACAGAGACAGAAGACGAATGCCCGTTTTCGGCATAGCCCACGGGATCCTTGAGCAGCTCTCCAGTATCTTCATCAATATCCTGATCAATCATCGATTTGCCACTGACTCGCGGGAGCTCGGGAACGCCGTTGCCGATCGGGGACTGGGGGGAGAAGAGACTGTGGAGACGGGAGCCAGGTTCAGATGGGGGCAGGGTATCACCAGAGGTAGCAGTGGTCGCGTTCAACTTCTCCAAGGTCTGGAAAGTCCCGTTGAAGCGCGACGACTGTCGCGGTAAACCTCCATTAACATGTCCCAGTAAGCCCCGAGTCGCGGTGTGGTCAATCGTGTTTCGTCTGGGCACCAAGGAGGAACCAACTGAGCCGTAAAACATTTCCACAATCATGGTGGCGTCGTTCTTGGAATTCGGTTTGCCGTCGAGAAGTGCTCGTGCTTCTTCCGCAGCAGCCAGGGTGCTGAAGCGCGCGACCGCACACAAGTATCCGTTGTCCTCCGGAGCGTCGGAAGGCACGAAATCGGCATCCACAAAATCTTTGGCAAAGAGGAGCATGCTGCGCAGAGCATCGCGACTGGTGTTGCGCGGGAGTTTGCGCATAAGGATCGCGCCGCCACCTGTTCCATTTGTCGGTCGGATAAAGCCATTCAGGCCCTGCGCCGACCGATCCGAGTCGCCCAGACGCATAGCAGATGAGGAAACGTTGTCAAAAGTGGAAGAGGGGCCGATCGGGGAGAAAGGGTAGGTAAACGAAGGACCTAACGAAGTTGGTGCCTGCGATGCGGGCGTATTGTACACGTCGGTCGACATCGCATTCTGGGCCGTCGCGGGCGCTTGAGAGGCCGAAAGCGGCTGGTGGGTAGGCGACGCGCCCGAAGAGACCGAGGGCGTGCGCTGAGTAGTGCTGTAGGAGCCTGGACTCGTACGGGTTGACTGATTCGAACTGCCACTCATGCCTCACGGACCGAAATTCTAAAAGCGTCTGACTCGATCGATTAACCCCACGAGCGGACGGGAGCACGGGCTCCTCCAAGAAGGTAAGGGAGTGCGGGAGGCAACCGGATGACAGATGGGACAGAGGCTGGAGGGGCTCAGCCAGAGGAGTGTCAGGAACAAGTAGAAAATGTGAAATGGTAAATCAACCAGATTAGAGGATCAGAATTCTGACGCAATCTCGTTGGGGGGAAGCAAAAGTGCGATGGATCAACACGCGCAATTGAACTCGCGGTATGCGTGTTTAAGGAGGTAAGGATGCGACGGACCGAGTGTCCGAGGGAGAGACAAGAAGTGTAGGCCACACACGATGGGAATGGAAAAAGGAAAAATGAATTGATAATCAAATGCAAAAGGAATGATTATGCGACTCAGTAATAAAATGTAAATGGTACAGGCAGAAGTTGGGAAGGTAGAGAGGTAGAGGTAGAATAGGGGAGGATGGAAGACGCGAACGGGAACGGAAAGGGAAGATGGCGAAGGATTGGGGGGGGGTTTTTTTTTTTTTTTTTTTTTTTTTTTTTTTTTTTTTTTTTTTTTTTTTTTTTTTTTTTTTTTTTTTTTTGGGGGGGGGGGGGGGGGGGGGGGGGGGGGGGGGGGGGGAGTAGGAGGAGAAAGTTGGGGGAGGGTGGGTGAGGAAGAAGGGAAGAGGAAGAAGAAAGAGAGGAAGGGAAGGACGGCGAGGACCAAGACCGTTCGGGGGAAGGATAAAGTTAGATTGGGTTGAGTTTTGGGGGGTGGGAGGAGGAGGAGGGAGGGAGGGAGGAGGAGGGGAGGGAGAGAGATTGGTAGCAAGTCAAGTAGTAAGTAGTATTTAGTGGGTTTAGTGAGTGAGTGGTGGGAAGGGAATGAGTGGGTGGTGGGAAGAAAGAGGGAGGGGGAGGCGCGTTAAGTAAGTGCCGTAGGCAGTCGTTGGTAGAATGCGTGGTGGTAGTGGTTTAGTTCGTGGTGTAGTGCAGTAGTAGTTGTTTAGTAGTAGAGGACTCAATGTAATGAATCAAATCAATGTTCAAGGTGTTTTGTAGTAGTAGTACCCGAGAATCCGTTAATCGACTGGGAACGAGATATTTCTGACTGTAGTAATCAATGAAGAAAGAAATCGATAGATCGATTGTTAGGTGGATAAATGTATGGAATGGGTAGATGATGACGATGATGACGATGAAGATGGGGGAAGAGAGGGAAATGGAAAAGGGAATGAGAAGAAGAAAGAGGAAGAGGAAGAGGAAGAGGAAGAGGAAAGGCTGCCGTACAATCGGCGTAAGGAACCGTAGGAACTGAAACTGGAAATGGTGAGAAAGGATCCGGCGAAATGGGTAGTAGTGTATCTATGGGGTAGATAGTAGTAGAACGTAGGAGTAGGTGTAGTTATCTGGTAGTACTGCGTAGACAGCAATAATCCTAATAATGCGAATAAAAATAAAAATAATAATAATAAATAAAAATGGAAATTAATAATAATACTACACTTAACTAATAATAAGGTGAAGAAAAAGATGAATGAACGTCAAGTTCCGGAACGGTCCTTTTTTACATTTAGGGAGTGGACTGGCCGGTCCTTTTGGACTTTTAGGGGGGGGAAGAGAATACTAGGAAACCGAGTAAAGTTGAAGGGGGCGAAAGAGGGAAAGGAAAAGAAACCAAAGCGTCAGAGAGAGAGAGAGACAGAGAGAGAGAGAGAGAGAGAGAAAGCAAGATTGACTGAGGACGGCCGACCCGACCGTCTTCTGTCTCGTCTGGTCTGGTCCACGGATCGAGACTGGCTCCGTTCCATGAAGCGATGGCCAGTCGGGAGTTCCCTTGAGGGCCTGTCGACTAATCCCCGAACTAGAACGGGTCCAAAAAGGAAAAAGTGACTAAGATGCGCCGTCCAACGAGCGCTTGCAGCTGAAGCGCGACCCGGCAGTTTAAGATGACACGACGCGCTATCAATGGAGTGCCAGCCGATCCCGTGCTGATGCTTGCTTTGGCGTGCTTTGGATCTGTCCGGTGGCCGTGTGTGCCTGGAAAAGTTGTTCTTCATCCATGCATCGATTCAACCAACTTCTGTTTAGTTAGATCTCAAATTCACATGGTCTGTTTCGCTGTTGTCGAACGATGAATTCACCTGTTTTCTATCTAGGTGTCATTGAGGAACATCTTCGCATCCAGACCATCCAGGAAGACCACCCGATTGCGGCAGTCCTTCACGCAAACAACCGAAACAAAGGAGGGAACAAGCATCCGGATGCGACATCACAGGTGCGTGTCCTGAACGCCCCAAGGCGCGTGGCAAATAGGGCAGAAGGAGCCCTCTCTCAAAGGCAGAGAGATTCACATTCAACACAACATCCAATCTGCTTAAGTTCAATTGCCGAGGCCATATTTATGATACATTCATTCAAATTTGGGGCTTCTCAGGGAGACTCATGGTTGGATATTTAAACTAGATAGCAACAACTATCACTTGTAAATTTGCAATCGAACCACAAGGGTGCGGACAGCAATAAAGATGAACAACACCATCAACGTCAAGAACCTACAGTAGTCATGAAGATCCAGATCCAGCCAGCATCTACCAACCTACGCATCTATCCGATTGTACCAGTCAACTCACTCAAACGGCTGAGAATCGATTACTATTCCCCCCAGTCGCTGGTGGGGTTCTCGCATAAATCCTCTCATACAGTTGGCCATCATCTCATGCCTGCACTTATGGGGCTATACTGCAGCCTTCCCCTTCACCTCCCAGTCCTACCTCGAATACTACTACCATGAGTCGCAGTCCTCCTCTTGACTCATGCCGCCCCGAGATATATGACGAAGACCTTTCCCGTGTGATAAAGGCAAAATCATCCCAACCGTGTTTATAGGAACCCTATTTACCCCATCCACCTGATCACGGGGGGGGGCTTTATCGCTCTGTACGACACAAAAGCCACCCCGCGGAGCATACCCATGGATGTCGAAGAGCCATCCTGCCTTACAGCCCGAAGCCTTCCTAGCTTACTGCACATAATCAAACAGAATCAAGCGATCCACTCCGAAGTCCACAAGTAAACGTTCGAATTAAAGTCCGGACTCGTACTAAGGTGTAAGGCTACAGATCTAGTCGTCTAGAGCACAATGTTTTTCTTTGCCCCAATGTGCTTGTTTCTGGGTACATGACGTTAAAACCTCCGAATTGCTTTCCCTCAAAAGGCTCATTGAGTGAACTGCCTCGGCACCATGGACCATGGACGGAGGGTATAGGCGATGCTCTCAGCTGACCGTATGAAGGAAAAATAAAATAACAAAACTCATCATCACCCTGACAAAATCGGTGGCAGATTCAAAGGCGCAAATGCTTACCATCTTCTCTTCTTCTGCTAAAATCAAGACTCATTCTTATTATCTGCACAACTAGCGATTAGCGCGCATAGCAAGCTAGTCAGTTATCCTGGGTATTGGATAGTCAGAACCAAACCAGGATGTCCTTCCTGGATGTTTTCTGGCTTCAAATCAAGCCAGTCAACCAATCAAAATATTGATCAATCAGGCATAACGCTACCGTCCAGCTGAGACGAGACCTCCCCATACAAGAGCTAATATGAGCACCCATGAGCGTCGATAGGTACCATCATGTACCTCAGTTGGGATGAGTGGGAGAGGCGGGCCCTGGTGGTGTGGCTGCCAGAGATCCATGGGAAGGACAAACTCTGACGCTGATCTTCCCACCTGAAATTCACTACGACAGCCAATCATCACGGTCCGTCAGACGTCTGGACTCGGGACTGGTGCGTTCTGTGCCTTGCCCGCAGAACGGGATTGGTCCATGACTGACCCTCATTGCGCGGGCAATGATTGGGATTTGGGACAATGAGAGAGAGGGGAACGGGAATCCTTTCAGGTGTCCAGTGGGTGCCGGGGATGAACGGTATTTCGTAGTGAGGAAGAAGACCAAGGCATGGTCATATTTTTTCCCCCCCTCATATTTACTTCTCCCTAGTGTTTGCGGAGTACCATGTCTCCGTGCACCAGGTTGCCGCTCATCCCGAGATGAATGACGGCTGAGGGAGTGGCACCGATGACTCGGGATTTACAAGGTATCATAGCAGAAGCATAGGACTAGATGCCAGCAACGCGCTATTTCACCTAGATGCCTATATGCAGGTTAGGTAATGTATACGCCAGATTTGCGAGAGGGGTGGGAAATTCATTTTTCCAAGTTGGACTCGTCGTTCTGATACGTGGATGTAAGTTAGACTGATAAGACGCGATAGATAGTAGTACCTAAAGTACACACACCTCTTTAAGTTTAATCTATTATCCTTCTGTCTGGGTATTCTGAATCTCTCACCACATTCTTATTCACCGAAACTGAAGACGTGCATCAAGGATCAAACGCCCTTTCATTGTCGCAGATGTGGTTGGCTCGGATTGGGCGATCTGGGCGTTGCTTCATGACAGTGCTGATCTAACGGAAAAGCCAAGTGGTGATGCCTGCATGGTCACCTGCCAGCCTTGAGCGCAAGGGAGCAGCCATGCAGTGATGCACAAAGTACGGAGTCGCTCGGGACTTTCTGCTGCCCCCTGTCCTTCTTAACTAAGCAAGATAATGAATGATTTGATCATATTGAGCCCGCTGTTGCTCAGCAAAAAGGAACACATAAGAGATGTGTATTCAGGCCTCTCTATAGATTTACCAGACTGCATCTGGAAGTTTCAACACGACCGTAGCATAGAAATGTTGCCCTCTTTCTCTGCCTCTGTTTCCGCCTCGCAGATGGAAACCCTGACTGATCCCGGAGGTGGCTTTTAGCATTAATTTAGCAGGCTCAAGGAACGTATGCCTGCCCATGCAGCGCGGAAACCTCATCCCTGCCAGTCATAATCGCCATACCTAAGATGAGGCATCTGGCTGCACGTTGGAACGCTTATGCCGAGAAAAGGGGGAACAGAGGCCTGATAAAACGTATATTGTATATCACACAAGCACAGAGGCCTCAGGCAGCACGTATTCGACTCACATAATGTACATAAATTCTCGACCCATAAATCAATTCCAGGAGAATAGCTCTCAGTAAACGCCATGAGTAATGCCAGTAGCATGATATTGAAAAACAGAAAAGAAAAGTTCTTCCACTCCGGAGAACTCGCCAACGTCCCCGAAAATGACAGTATTCGCCTCACCCTATCCGAGCAACAGAAGCTCGAAGGTGAGTGCACCGTGCAAGTATACAGATGTCGAAGTGAACAGATATCCACGCCTCAGTTTTTCACATTCTTGCTTTCTTTCACAATCCCGGCCTGTGGTAGATACCGAATATTAGTCAATCGATGTCGTAACCCAGGTCCATATCCCCTTCCTACTAGCGGACATGCTTGTTATATAGTGGCAGGCAACGTACGAGGTTTAGTAACTTCCAAACGCCATCACTGGGCTGTGCGCCAACACCAATCCAGTACTTGGCTCGAGATCGATCGAGCGAAATCTCCTTGTATGCTTTGGCGGTGCGGGCCTCCTTCTCGGACAGGTTCGTAGGGCGCTGCGGAATAGGGTTGAAGGTACCGATAACTTCAAGAGGTTTCGAGTCGCGAGCCGACCTATAAAAGACAATCCCCATTAGCATAAGATCTCATACTCCTCTTAGAACACTCCCAGTGAGTCGCTCGCGGAACGCGATATACTGATCCCCGGGATCCATAAAAAATTTACCTACCGTGCCTGAGCAACAACGATGTTGTAGAACGGCTGGTGCCGGTTTCCAAAGCGGGAGAGGCGAATGCGAACGACCATCTTGACGGGCGATTTCTGCAATTGGGAAGCAAAAATAAGATGAGCGACTGCACAGCAAAAGGGCAACTTGATCAAGCTCAAGCAGGCCAGAGTCTCCGACTCCGCGGCAGTTTCCAGCCTGGTCGGGAGATTTGTCGGGCCGAGACTGCGGAATTCGGATTAGCGTCGGTCAGTGGGGAGGGCCCGATAACAATGATGCAATCGCATTTACACCACCTTAAAGAATCGCTCCTCCTAGCAATATTTCCTACACCTATCCATTGCATTGAGTATATCGGAGTGCTGCTGCATAGTCTTCACGCTCAACCTTGCACTTAAAAGGCACCATTGTATGTTCCGTGCCGCACTCCCCAGGCGGAACCCTATCCCCGCATTATTTCGATACTATAGTAGATCCGCCAAGATGTCATTGAAGGTGTGCAATAACTTCACTATTTCCGCCTAAGAAGAAGAGTACACCATACTCACGAGAAATATCCCAAACAGGCCATCTCCTCAAAAGATGCCGCATCCCTCGATAAAGACCTCATGGAAATAGGTGGCTGGTCATTGGACCAGTTAATGGAACTAGCGGGCCTCTCTGTCTCTCAAGCCGGTAAGAATGCGACACCTTCCAGCAACAATCTAAAACCAGGCACTCTGACATCTCAGTCTACCGCATTCATCCACCAAGCTCGGGTAAGGATGTTTTGGTTATCTGCGGCCCAGGAAACAACGGTAGGCCTCGAACGACCCTTCATTTCCATCAGTCACAGAACAAACAACGATTTTAACCTCCTCTCAGGCGGCGATGGCCTAGTAGCCGCACGCCATCTAGCTCACTATGGGTACAAGCCCTCAATTTACTATCCAAAGCAGGGCAAGAACGAACTCTACCAGGTAAGCTCTCAGTAATCGCCCCACATGTCATTGACGTGACCCGAAACATGAAGCTGGGACCCCCACCCTGCAAATATGTACATATACATGCATCCATTCCTACACACATCACTCTCCAGCCACACACCCCAGCCTACTAACCTCCTCAAACAACACAGCGCCTCAAAACACAACTCGAGAACCTCTCCGTCCCATTCATCTCCGACCTCCCCGTAGCCATCAAATCCGCCGACTTCCTCGTCGACGCCATCTTCGGCTTCTCATTCGGCGGACCCCTCCGCGAACCCTTCCCAACCATCATCTCCCAAATCGAAACAGCCAGTATCCCCGTTCTGAGCGTCGATGCGCCCAGTTCCTGGGACATTGAGAGCGGCCCACCCAAGGAAGGCCCGGGATCGAAGTTCATGCCGGAGGCGCTCATCAGTCTGACTGCGCCGAAGCCGTGCGTGAAGTATTACAAGGGACGGCATTTCCTGGGTGGACGGTTCCTGACGAAGAGTATTGCGGATAAGTATAAATTGGATCTGCCGGAGTATCCGGGTATCGAGCAGATTGTCGAGGTGGGGGTTGATGCTGAGGGAAAGCTTTGAGGGCTGGAGCGGGTAAATGATGAATAAAATGGCCTATTTGCTAGGCTTAGGTACTTAGTAGATGAAGGTCAGAATACTTATGAGTTTACATTGTTGTTACATCATATGCATAGCGCCATAGGAAACCTAATATTAGCGACGAATATCTTGAGAATATGTCCAATATGGAATTCATGCAGTGTAGTGTGTATCGCTATCGTGAACTAGAGATGTATACGTGCTATAGACAGCAGTAGTGAAGCAGAACACAGACGCTCCATGAGGTATAGAATGTCTTAAGACCCGGGCCTCAACATGCTATACCTTCATGATAACGACTCCTTAATCTCGCCTATGATACCCTTGATTCTTGGTTCTTTACCAAGACCCGAGCTTGAAATCTTCTTCAAAACATCTCCAACATCGTACACTTCCTTGGCCGCAGTCTTGACTTCTTCCCCTAGTCCGTTGACCAAAGTTCCTAGAGCCACAAGACCGCGATAGACTGCTTCAGAATCCTTTTCACCGGTAATCATTGTCGTTAGCTCGTTAAGAAGGACCAGAGCCTGTTCCGATGACTCAGGCATCGATTCTCTGCCCGCAGAGGTGAGGTAAACGGCAAAGTTGATGTAGAGGGTTGTAATGGCAATGGTGAGATTTCGGTTCGGCGTCGTCCCACTATTGGTTAAAGCGGACTTGACGCCGCTCAGGATTTGCTCAAACCTGCTAGTGGCAAGGTCACGTCCCGCGTCCGTTTCGAAAAGGTTGGCGAGCATGCGTATTGACAGCATCGCATTATTAACATTGAATGGTGAGTCAAACACCCCACTAGACTGGATGCCTGAGATGAGATCCTTGCCATCGTAATCGGCCGTGGCAGTCACGGGAGTGGCAGCGGCGGACAAACGGAGAAGATCAAGACCCGGCAGTCTGCTCGCGACAGGCCAGACGGTTGCAACCTTGTATAATAAAACAACACCAGCCTCCACTGCCGGAGACTGCTCGACATTTGAGGACTCCAACTGACCACACAGGGTTGCCACCGTCTCCATCTCCGAAGGGCTGAGCGACAACTCTTTCGATCCGGAAGATATGACGTGTTGGTTCAGCTCTTGCAACTTCTTGGCGATCAATTTGAGGTTGGCAGATTTGATGGAAAGATAGGTCTTTTGCGGAAGGACCTTCGGTCGAGCCTCCGGAGCAGGAGGTGACTGCGCATCTTCGGGACGATAACGCCTCTCTTGACCCCAAGGATCGGCCCCCGCAGGCGTCGGACCCTGTGAGGTCTGACCAAGTGTTGCGCCTTGCGTATTTTGAACGATGAACTGAGCGACTTGATCAAGGTAGTTCATCGACAGTTCGTTGTCCTGGATGAACTTGGTCGCAGCCTCGTACGGGTTTTGAGAGACGTTGTATGGCAATTTGAGGGGAGGTTTGCCGTCTTCCACGTCAACGTCGAAGACATAGTCGTAGTCTTGACCCAGATACTCCGTTTTCCTTCCACTGCTGGCAGCGGAATCAACTACCGTACCAACTGCAACCCATTCCCGTGATGCGGCTGACCAAGTGTGAGCAGTAACGCTACCATCGTCCTCACGGATCATCTGCACCTGCCCGTCCTTGGTTCCCGATTTCTGCCTGAGAAATTCCGTACCCGGAAGCTGATCTTTGTTGATCTTACCAACCTGCTGCTCCGGAATTGCCGACTCCTTGACAGTCTTTTCGAACTGTTGTACTACTTCTGCGCTTGCCACGCGTTCCTGGCTTCTGCTAAACACGCGTGTGATGCGGTCACTGGCTCCTGTGACAATGTCGCCGGTCTCCTTGCATACCGCAACGCTCCAGACAGAGATCGCAGGGTGCGTGATTGTCTGTACGCACTGCGTACCATCCCAGATCCTCACCGTCCGATCTTCTCCAGAACTGACCAACTCACCCGAGGGCAAAGCGGCCAGCGAATAAATAAAGCTCTCGTGGCCATGCACCTCCCCGACGAGTTGGCCTTGTATGGTAAAGAGACGAATCACTCCATCGTTGCTCGCCGAAGCAAAGTGTGCGCCAGTGGGGTTGGAGGCGGGAACCTTGCAAAGAGCTCTCACAACGTCCTGGGAATCTTTGATCGTTCTCAGCAGAGTGCCGGAGGTGTTGAAAATGCGTATCATTTTATCCGCGCAGCCTGGAGAGTTGTTAGCATATGCATGGAATGATCCATCCGTCATATATGCAGGGGTACGGCGCGCGCTTACCTGTGATGACGGTATCCTTGTCATAAGCAAGTACCGTCCAAACACTTCCTTGATGACCCTCCAGCACGACATCGGTTTCCCATTTACCCACCTTCCATAGCCTAGCTGTCGAGTCCCAGCTTCCACTGACTACCCATCCGCCATCATGTGACACATCCAGCGCACAGACATTATGTGTATGGCCCAAGAGCATAGCATCCGCGTTATCATCGGCAGCTTTGCCTGGTTGTCTGGCTTCAATAATAGTGTCTTGACCACCGGAAAGGACAAGTCCATCAGGAAACTGGGGGGTAGGTGGGTAGTATGCCAAAGCGTTGATGAAGGCCTGGCCGTGAGAGGTGATGGTGTAGTCATATGCCGGAGGTGGGGTGGAGACTAGTTTCCAGAGTCGGACTGTTGCATCTCGGGACGCCGAGAATATAGCATTGGGATTCGGAAAGGCCACGGCGCGAACCTGAGAGTGAGAGAAAGAGGCGTCAGTGGGCGACAATGGAGGGTTGGAAGGTGAAAGGTGGCCAGCGTTAACAGCCGGGACGTTCTTACATCATCGCCGTGGCCCTCCAGAGAAGCGGAGATCTTGAACTCAGGCATACATAGACCAGTGGAGAGAATTAGGGAAATATAGATCCCAGTAGAAGGGGTTGAGGATGAAGAGGGGGAACTGGCAAGAGCCAAAAGGATGAAATGGAGGCACCAAAGATGGCCGGGAGGGTTTCAAGGCACCTTTGGGAAGAGAGGGAGGGGGGGAGTTCCTGCTTAGTAGTACTAGTTGACCTGGAGTACCTGAGGAGCTGCTGCTTAGAGACTAAAGGGAGGGCCATGGGACCATCTGGGGCAATCACGTGGGCGGTGGCTCGCCAGTGTATTCGCCGGGAAGAAGTTGCTAGAATCCAAGTCTTGATAAGCCATGTTACTAAGAAACTATTAGCTAGTTAGTACTATCGGGTTGGGAATGGAGCTATACCCTGGCTTGACTGGGTACTCGACTAGTGGCCATTCTGGATTCACTACTAGTCTTAGTTTGCATTGGGTTTCCATAAGGAACAAATGCTGATTTCCATCCTGAGTTCCATACCACGATTTCCTACGAAAATGCGCTGAAATGGCCCTCCTCACTCAGGGACCACATCGCATGTTAGTAGTGCAATACCCGCAGGGTATCCGATGCACGTGCAGAAGCCCAAATGCCATTGTTCTGGATTCAACACACATCTGCGCGTCGTTGTAGTATCAAAATATCGAAGTCCATGAATGCATCCAGATTGCCTATTTGGGAACCGATTAGGGACATTTACCCCTCACGTGCCGTTTGACACTAGTCCCCGATAGGCTTAGGGCGGCTAACGGCCCGGCGACGATTCGCGTGAATATCAAAAAGAAAGTCCCAAACTTCCCCCCAACCAGCTTCATCTCCATCGTTCTCATTGTTCCGGGCTTGAGTCCCTCTCCACCGTGTCTGTAGAAGCGCCGGTGGCTCATACATCTGTTTGAGGGTACCGCCTTAACTGGGAGACCCGACTTCTCTACCTAATTCCTTGTCCTGCCTTTCCTTTCTTCCACCTCCAATCATTCTAGAACGACCCCGCTACCTCGGGCTGATTGATGACTTGACGAGACTGACGAATTTCCTTGTGTACTTCTACGCTGTGTTCATCTCTCGTGTCTTCTACTTCACTGCTACTCTGCGCTTCATCTGCGACAGTTCAGAGACGGTTTTTTTCAGTCTCAACTGAACACCTTATCGTCACTTCATCTAACGGCCCCTACTATCGCATGCGACACTCATCACATTGCAATTGACTCTGTACATTACCTCAAGTGAAGTTTATATACAATGGCGTCAGGTGCGGTGGATTCAGTGGCCCATTCTTCAAAGCAATTGGCTATTGACACATTCCAGACATTCCCAAAGTTGTGCCGTTGACCTGCCACGGACACTCACGTCCCGTGCCGCACATCAACTTCTCATCCACCGTCGAGGATGATCAGTACTACCTAATCTCTGCCTGCAAAGGTGAAAATCCTCAGAACCATGGCTAAAATTCCCGTACTGACATCTACCAGACAACAACCCCATGTTGCGGGATGGCATAACAGGTGACTGGTGCGTGTTCCCCGCATTGAATACTCCGCACACCGCACATGCTTACCATCAATGTCATTTAGGATTGGAACCTTCCTCGGCCACAAGGGCGCAGTATGGCAAGCCCGGCTCTCGACAGATGCGAATCTGGCAGCAACCGCAGCTGCGGACTTCTCCGCGTGAGTACCTACCTACCCACTTCCAACGCACGCCGCCGTCGCATCTCACTAACCTGCCAATTTTCTCCCCATACAACAGCAAAATCTGGGACACTCACACCGGCGAATGCAAACACACTCTCCAGCACTCGCACATCTGTCGCGCAGTAGCGTTTCCAATCCAGCCTTCTCCCCAGGTCGTCGCAACAGGTGGCTTCGAGAAGAAGCTTCGCATCTTCGACCTCACTCGCAGTGGGGGCAGTAACAGCTCCTCACCGACGAGTGCCACCCCCAACACCGACGCCAGCCCTTCCGCCGTAACAAGCTACGAGATTGGCCCCGGCGTTCACGGCGGGACCATCAAATCGATCGTCTGGAACCAGGACTACAACATCCTCACGACCGCCGCGGAAGACCGCAAGATCAGATGGTGGGATCTTCGCTCGCGCCACCCCGTCGTCGAATACGCCGTGGAAGGTACCATCGGAAGTTGCGAACTGAACTCCCTCGCCGTCAGACCCAACGACGCCGGAATCCTTACTGTCGCGGCCGGCAGATCCGTCTACCTCTTCGACGGCCTAAGCCCCGGTCGTCTCCTGAAGAAGATCGATTTCCGCTACGAGGTCGCCAGCGCAGCAGTCAACAATGAAACAAGCAGACTGGTCACGGGTAGTGCCGAGGATACCTGGGCGAGAGTATACGACGTCCGCACGGAGGAAGAGCTGGGTACATTCCATCCCCCACCCTTTAATACCCCCCATCATTTATCACCGTTCACTTCAATGTGACTAACAATCCACTCGCAGAGGTCCAAAAAGGTCACCACGGTCCGATCTGGTCCGTCAGTTTCTCCCCTGACGGCAAACTCTACGGTACAGGAAGCGAGGATGGAACGATCAAGTTGTGGAAGGCTTGCAGGGAGCCGTATGGTCTCTGGCGGTGATGGATCGATAGAGCGGGGAAGCCATCTACTCACATATCGAGATGTACAAAAAAAGAGAAATACAACACGAAAGCGATCATCCCATCTGCCGAGCTGTGGTGGCATGGATCTGCTTATACACTATGCAATTGCGGCTGCGCGCATATTACCTTGATGTAGATATTCGAAACAGAGACACCATGGCTATGTTGTTATACCCGCAGCGATTAACAAGCGATACGCCATACTTATGGTATGGTCAACTGCATGCCTTTGAATTCCTTTTGGTTTTTATTCAAGACGTCTTTTGTATTCCAACCGGGAGTGATACTAGTTACATGTAATGAAAAGAAAGCAAAGCAATCACAAGCCCTCGCAAGTGGATGTGAATCGGCAGACAAGAGTACTCAAAATCGAAAGCGAGCCTTTCACTCAATCATGTCGATATCATCATCACCCGCAGCGGGCGCAGACGCCGGCGCAATTTGCTGAGGCTCGTCAGGGATGACTTCTTTATCGGCTGCGCCAGCCCCAGCGTTTCCGGAGCCACCCCAGTAATCGTCCATTTCTTGGTCGAGCTCTTCCTGTGTCTTTCTGGGCCGTCCGTTGACCGTGCGGCGGCTGTCGCCCCTGTTCTCACCTCCACCGCCCTGGCGGCGCCCGTTCGTAGCGCCGCGGTTGCGAGTCGGCGACCGCTGACCGGGAATGTATCTGTCAATGTGCTCGGGAGCAGGTTTGGAGACGTCACTGCGCCGGTACCCGCCGCCGCCAGCACCACCGCGACGACCACGACGACGGCGTGCACCTCCATCAGGACTGCCGCTTCTACTACCGGGGCTGAGACTCCGTGCGTCGCGGTCACGGGGTCTCTCGACGCGGTCGAATAGACTTCCCTTCGAGCGTTCCACGTTGTCAAATGGGTTGCGGTCGCGTCTTCCGGCGCCGGTAGAGATGAGTGTCAGACGGATAGGCTGGCCTTTGGCGTTTGCGCCGTCGAATTCCCTGATCGCGGTTCGGGCATCGCTGATATGGCTGTAGGTCACAAAGGCGACTCCTTCGGAACGTCCTGCCCGGTCGTAAACGAGAGAAACATTGCTGATTGGTCCGATGCGGGTGAACAAGTCCTTTTCAGATCGCATATGTTAGAGCCCAGTAGGAAAAAACGGTCGGGACTGGAACAAGGCCTACCTCGAGATCGGTTTCTGTAATGTCGTAGTGGATGTTCTCAACGCGAAGCTTAGCTCCGCTAGACGCAGTGCTGTGTCTGTACAGGTCAACTTCGTCCACCGAGGCGCATTAGATAAACATACTGTTCGGGAGAGGGGGAGTAGCGGTCGCCACGCGGACGTCGGGGGGCACGAGAAGGGCGTGCTGAGTAAGGTGTTAAGAATGACCGAACATGGGATGAATTCCCATGGCTATCTGCCATATTGAGAGTCGTAGAACGCACCATCTCTGTCGTCTTCGTACTTGTCATGAACCCAGTCACTGTATGTCGAGCCAACGCATTAGCGATCCCATCACTCGGGCTGTAACACTGGACGGAAAATAATAAGGGGAAAGGTAATTACAGATCCAAATCAGGACGTTCTTCTCTGTGAAGCTGTTGCAGTCGAATAGAGAGAGAAGGTCAGCTCGAAGTCACACTAGGTATTCACGTAAACAGCTCCATCTTTCTGCGGCTCTTCGCGGCGGTCTGCCTGTGCGAGAGACGTTGCTACGAGGCCAGCGAAATTTGCTTATCACGATGCGCGAGAAATGTTCGAAAAGAGACAAGGAGGGAGGACCTGCGAGAAGCAACACACTGGGTTAGCATCGACACGCGCAAAGCAGACGCAAGAAACAGCAGCAGCTCATAATGAGATGATGACAGGGATGAAGAAATACCTTTCTTACGCCATCACGGCGACGACCTTGAGGAGGGCGACGGCCGCGGTTCTGATTCTGCTTCTGCTACACGAAGGCAAGTCAGCGCACATGCAGGGTGTGATGTCTAGCAGACCATCTGAGACTTGTCATCCCGGAGGCGTTAGCAGGGACATACAGGACGCTCCGCGATAATCTCGTCCAAACTGCGGTCCATCTTGAACAGTTGGGGAGGGTGTTTGTCGGAATAGAGAATTGAAAATAACAATCGAGTACTATTGAAATTCACACTGTGGACAGGTGCGCAGTGGGAATTGATGGATGGACAGTAGAAAGCTGAATGAAGGTCGGAGATGAGCTTGGAATAGATCCATGCCGGACCGTGCCTGCTCAGACCGCCCGGCCAAGCAGAAGAATCACGTGACCAAACTCCGTAGTATACAGCAGATGGCCATCTGCTTGCCTCTAATTACTGGTGGTGCGCGACCTGAATGTTCTAGATTTCAGTGGGATACTGACATGAAATCGTACTCTATTTACGGGGACAGTTGTCATCATATTGGAATGAGTGCTTTGTTGGGAACGTGTGTATATGTAAACTACTTCTTCCCCAGAAGCTAAGCGTGCCCGCTCAGAACCGTCGAGAGCCCAATGGCAGGAAGAGAGGCGCAGACAAGGAGAAACTCATGGCTGTAATGCAAAAAGGAAGAGAAACGACGCCTCGGCTCATAGTCCTGTATGCATGGTCGAAAGCTCACCGAAGACACAACCCTCCCTTTTTGCTCCAGAAAACACCAAAAGCAACCTCCAGCAAGACTCTTCAGAAAGGTGACAAGCAAATGAAAAGAGGAAGAGGACCGAATCAGAAAGCAAACAAAACTCCGGCAGTGCAATGCAAACGTACTAGCCCATCAATCCCCACCATTCACAGGGTCGCTGTTGTTATGCTCTATCATCTTCTCCATGAAGCTGATGTAGTCATACTTGGGAAGGTCTCTGTCTTCTTGAAGATCCGGTCCGTTGTGTGGCGGCATAGTCTGGACTAGATGTTCGATTACCTCGTCGGGAATGAGGGAGTGTCGAAGGTCGAGCTCCGTGACATAAGGCTATTACAAAAGTCAGATTTTGAATGAAACGCAACACTTTGCAATTCTGACGGGGTACATACCTTGCCATCCGCAACCTCGCGGAAACTCTGGTAGACTTGCTCGGCCGTGTTTTGATCCTCAGTAACGCTGACCATGAAACGGATGAACTGCTCAAAGCTGACACCGGCATTTTGCGCAAGTCGGGCTGGTCCACATGTTTCCACATAGACGTCATGCATCTCCTCTTCATCATATACAAGGCCAAGACTTGCGAGGGCTGCCGAAAATTCAAGCTCATGAAGGGTATTGGAAGCGTCGCGATCGAAATGCCTGAAGACAGACTCAAATTCCTCCAGTTGGATTGGTGTCAGGTTGGTCATGTTCCGAGCCACGAGTTGATTGTCAAGGAATGCCAGCTTTTTGGAGATGCTAGACTTGACCAAGCTCAACTCGTAAGAGAGTTCATCTAAAGTATATGTGGTGTAGTCGTTTTCCTCAATATTCGCCTCCGCACATTGCTCGTCCAGAGCCGCAATGGTATCTAAGAACGCATCGAGGGGAGGGAGGTTGTCATTGAGTCTCTTGACATGTGCTAATTGGTCTTCTACATCACCATCGAGACCAGATATTGCCAGAGACAGGGTCTTTAACGTTAGCGCAAAATCGTTGGCTTTGTCCGCAAACGATCGGCGGAGGGCATTCTTGATATCCCGAATGGTCTCGTTAATAAGCTGGCTACGTTCGTGCTCGTCACGAGTCAAGCCCTCCCACTCCTCATCGCAAACCTCCAGACTTAGTTCCTTTGGCGGTTGGTAAGGGCGCAATCGGTATGTGCTGAGTTTGGTCTTGATGTTACCGAGCAGGGCTGCGAGATCCGACTTTTCTGCCACCCACTGGCGCTTCTGGTTTCTTTTATACAAGGAGAACTGGTGGGCTTGCTCTTTCGCGTCCTTGTATGTACCTTCAAAGGATGAGTTCTTCCATGCCTCACGTTGCACTCTGATAACGCGCAATAGTTCCCTCATTCTCCGCTCGTAGGAGTTCTGCATCTCCCATGCACCATGCATGTTGTTGATGAATTTCTCCACCCGACGTCCGGCATTCTCGACACGCTCCAGCTGCGAGAATGCATGGAACCAATAAGCGATGTATGTCATCAGTGACTTCTCATCAGGTCTTGCTTGATCGCAAACATCGTCGACATCGAGCAAGTCAGGGATGCCTATTTCGTTAGCTGCGATGTCGAAGGCGAGTTTCATGTTACCCCGGTGGTCCTTCTTGTCCAGAGCATCGAAGTCAATCAGGTCTGGACGATGGATATCCAGAAGGGCACAGAAGGCCAGACCATCATTCCAGCTAGTGGAGAAGTCCCGGACTTCTACTCCTTCGTAACAAGCAGTCTTCCGTTGACACCACAGAAGGAGACCCGCCTTCGCGGTCATTCCCTCCGCGTTGATGTCGCTGATTGTGAATCGCAGAATGAGTGTCCATATCAAGCCCAGAATGATCTTCCGATTTCCATCCACAACATCCTCTGCTCCAATGTTCGTCATCGGGATCCGCCTTCCCTTGATGAAATCGAGACTCTTGTTGACATTTTCGAATTTCTGTACCCGCAACTTAGGCTTCGAGGCATATCGACCAAGTGACTCTCCACCCAGGATCTCGAGTAGATGAATAAGGATAACCTGAAGTTCCGATAAGAATCATTAGCAACCGGAGCTTCCCTCAGTTCGGCGCAGGGGTTGGCGCCCCAACAAGGACGAAAGCAGGGGTGTACTTACACCATCGGAAAGGTCGACCACGAGGTCATCGATGAAGATCTTCCGCACCTTCAGCTTGTCATTGAGCCTGCAGACAAACCAGGGTCAGCTTACTCAATTTCGGGAGAGTGCATAAAGAGGGAAAACAAAGAAACAGCGAAAAAAATATTTCGGGGCATGTGAGGGCAAGAGGGGTAATTTGGAGAAGGCCTCTTCCCCAGCATGCAATTAGGGTAGAATGAGAAAGGGAACCAACCATTTGGTGAAGGTCTTCTGTTGCACATTAATCCACTGCTTTTCAACTGTCAACATGATGGATGGCGAGGGTGGTTGAGAACATCCAGGGCGGGCGGGGAGAAATTGGGCGATTGAAGCACGGACTGAGGGAGCGTTTGCTGTCTATCTGGAGGCTGGTATCCAGTGAGTTAATGGATGGAGCCGACGGAGACCGGACTTGAATAGAAAAGGCAGGATCTTCAGGACGGAGGTGACTAGAACGAGTGGGAAGGGGTGGGCTGCGATTCGCCGGTTTCAAAGAGATCGAATCGCCTAGATAGATAGTCGGCGGTTGGGCGCAGAGTTGAAAGAAAGAACTAAGCAGAATGAATAATCATCGAGTAGGAAACTAGGAAATTTAGTTGATTAATTTGCTAGTTGGAGCCTGGAGCGTGAGGGAGACTACTAGTTAGTAGCCTTGCCTTAGTACAGTTAAGCACTTGAAAAGTAGGCCCCATTCATTGCTTTTAAAGGGGCTCTCACTCACTCCCTCTCTGTCTCTGTCCCTCCCGTGCAGTGGAAAAGGGCCTGTCAACAAACTTCCACCCCCACAGCAACCGCCGCTGGTCCTGCCCGGTCGGCTGCTGCCGGTAGGTTCAGATCCCATCCCCCCCCCCCGTCCAGTCGTTCATTTCATTCATTCATTCATTCATCATCCATTCTCCATTCTTCAGCCACGCAGTCTTCTATCATCGGAGAATTTCTAAAAGTAAATTCGCCCCATTCTCTCGCATTGCTTGCCCAAGAATTATCATCTAGCGTCGATTTATGTCCGTCCAAATCCCGTTGAGAGAATTCTTTCATATCAATTGTTGACCCGGTTTCTGTTTATAGTACAGTCCTAATAGTACTAGTAGTAGTTCAGGGGAAGGATGGCGCTTAATGACCATTCAGAGTCGAGAGAAGCACCGTAGCACTCAAATTTTCCTGCATGGGCATCCATCCACTATTACTCTGCAGGCGTTTATCTTCTTTCAGTCCTGCTTCAATGGTTCCAAAGAAAGGATTGCCCAACCAGGGGATAAGCAGGTGAGACGGGCTTCAGTGCTGTCTGACTCGTAGACTTTCTTGCGATAACTATGAATAGCACGGCTCTGGAGGATGATCCATGTTCAATTTTCCGAAGCGACGCTGATCAAATTCTTGAGTGACCCACCAACCTGACTTCAATCCACCAATGTCGATGGAACTGCAAGACGATTGAGGGGTTACTAGTTTCTCATGTTGTCGCCCAACCTGAAGGCGTGATCATTGACGGCTATGGATGGATGTCTAGTTCGTCTGCATCTGCCGGAGGCATATCCACGATCCACGATTCGGGGGCACATGTTTTGCTGGCTGTATGGTTGTACGAAGACAACCCCAGTAAAACAGGTCTCAAAATGCCGGGATAAACATGGAGGGCACACGCGAGAAAGTACCGTGGTAGAAACCTGCATTTTACCTTTCCCGATGCAAGGGCGAGGATACCAGTTGCCCCATAATTTTAGCCATCTTTCCAGCTTGAACAACAAGCTCCCTATGCGTGCGGGGGCGCAAAGACCGAATGTCTCGCCAGAGTGAGAATTGATGTAATTGTCTCAATTCATCCAAGTATGCTGCATCCATCACAGTATGTAGTTCCTGCTATACTTATTAGTATACGAAGATCAAAACAGATGAGGCCGGAGACACAAGCGGCAAAGGGGTGGGCTGATGATATCATCGGATTCGCCGAGGCGTGATGGGGCCCGCGCGCGAAACATCCAGCTCAACTTAATCGGCTTCCCCTCTCTCCGTCAGTCATTCTCCGGGTTCACTCCGTGACTACTGATTACCTTGCGCCTGTTCATACCGAACATCTCAGATTCCCTAAGCCTGTTTCGCTTTGCCATTTCGATTCTTTTGTTTCACAATGCCGGCCAACTACTCCTTTGCGGACGAGGTACCACTGCCAAATTCCGCCGTCAAAATACCCCGCCTCGGCTTCGGCGTCTATCGGTCACCTTCCGCACAATGCGTGCAGTCCTGCCTCAAGGCCCTCGAAGTCGGCTACCGACACATTGATACCGCTCAGTTCTACGCAAATGAGAAAGAGGTTGGCGACGCCATCCGTTCCTCTGGCCTGTCCCGCAATGAAATTTTCGTGACCACCAAAATCCTCAGCCCAGCGGGCTCGCCCGAGGCAACCTATGAGAGACTGCTGGCTAGTGTCGAGAAGATCGGTGGCCCGGACGGATACGTTGATCTGTTCCTGATTCATAGCTCCAAGTCTGGCTCGTCGGGTCGCAAGCACTTATGGCAGGCCCTGGAGAGGCTGCTGGAGGAGGGCAAGGCTAAGAGTATCGGTGTCAGTAACTTTGGAGTGAAGCACATTGAAGAGATGAAGGAATATGCGAAAGTCTGGCCGCCCCATGTTAATCAGATCGAGGTTAGTACCCTATACTTTTCTTCCTGTTTGGTCGCTGCGGTGCAATAGAAAGAGAATCCGACTGACTCATTGAATCGCACAGCTCCATCCTTGGTGCCAACAACGTGTGATCGATGCATACTGCAAGAAGAACGGAATCGTTGTCGAGTCTTATGCCCCCATTGTGCGAAACTATAAAGCGAATGATCCTACACTCGTGGACTTGGCCAAGAAATACAACAAGACGACCCAGCAGGTCCTGATACGCTACGCGCTGCAGAAGGAATGGGTTCCACTTCCTAAAACCGACAACCCAGACCGGATTGCGGCTAACGCTGATGTGTTTGATTTCGACATCAGCGAGGAGGACATGGCGGTGCTTAATGCTCTTGACCAGGGAAGCAGTGGCGCTATTGTCGAGGCCGTCGAGAACGAGTAGTTCGTCCATTTATAGACATAATTAATTGTGATTTTCAGGTAATTTTTTTCTTCCAGGTATTAGTAATCTGGGCGTTGCATGAGGAAGGCATTGATCGATTGAAGCGTAGACCGCGAGGGATTCACATCATGTTTGGAGGATGTGATCCAAGCGAGCCGCTGACGAATGAACTGCTTGCCGATCAGTTGGTTGGTGGGAATAGCAGTGAACTCGCCTAGTGTATTATTAGTACTGTAGAGACACCTTATAGAATAGACAAGACGGGTTGACAGATCGACGAGAGACTTACCTTCCTTGTTATAGAACAGACACAATATTGCAAGTAGAGCACCAACCGAAAGATCCTTGCCCGTCTCACATGTCACCAGCAATGACCGTGATGGGTCTGCGCTCATACGGGACTTGACGAAGTCCTGGACCTTGTCCAGGTGTTTGCGCAGGTCACGGCTTCCAAGCTTAGAAGATCCGCAACCGAGATTCAGGCGATTCGCATTATCTTCTGCCCCTTCTGCGCTCGCATTACAATCTATGACCAGATCAAACATGCTGCCGTTGTTCAGTTGAGGGTGTGTTTGACTGAGATATAAGTTTCGTGTTGGCGCAATGCGTATCGCTCTCTGATCAACATTCTTTTTACTGTGATCCTCAACCAGCTGTTCGATTACGGTCGGGAGATCTTCTTCCGAGTGCTGGAACAGGGTCGCTTTAGTAGCCCAAAAGACAGGAGGCGTTAGCCCATAGGCCCAACTCTCGCTGTCATCTCCTGCTCCTTGGATATAGCCGCCTTCAGACATTTCTGCGCCATGGACCCTTTTCGATGCGGAACAGAGAACAAACAGGCGATAGTCATCCCCTTTATGCAGATCTGTCGGATGAAAATAGGCTCGGTTGGCCCATGCTACCCGAATAGGCTTTCCAAGTTGCTGCTTGAGTTCACCCAGATCGAGTTTCAGGTCCTAGCAGCCTATCAGCACACATGGGAGTTATGGGTCATTTCACAGCAGAAAATGAGTTACCTCGAGGGATTTGACGAAGCCGTCAATCCTCCGCTCAATCTGGGACTCTTCAGAGGCGCCCAAATAATTTGGCGGAAAGTTCACCGCGTGATATGCAGTGTCAGATGGAAATAGCGCCCTGTTGATGACGGCACACCAGATTGGAACAGTTTTAGACAGCGCATCAGGCATCACTGGCGCATACCTCGTTAATCGGTGCACGAATGACATTGAGGGGGTAACTGGTTACTTACATTTGCCCCGGCGCGTGGAATCCACGATAATGCAACTGTATCAACGAATAAGGGTCAGCCATTCAGTTAGCCCGAAGCAGAACGATCAGCAGGGATGGCAGGAAAAGATGGATGACAGGATCACTGACCCTCCATGTTCCCTGGCAATTGGTAGAAGCTGCAAGTTTAGTCTGCGAAAGCTGAAATCCCACTGGCCCGTGTGACCATCTGTACTCTTGAAGTACGCACTGCCAGACTTGACTTCAGGCGGGATGTACCAGCTCCCGCATCTTTCGTTGGCGATGAGAGGAAGGTCGTAATGGGCTGCAACCTCACGGACAAAGGCCGCGTCGGCCTCGATGGAACGCAGGCGGTTGGTGACGGAGAGAGCTGATCGTCGTAATGCAGATAGCGTCTGAGAAATCGATTGTTGCTCTGCGGAGGGGAAGTGAAGGGACGAAATAGACACGGGGTAGGGATCGGAACCAGAAGCAGATCCCATGTTGCCCGGAGTGCTTTGTATTGGCTTGAGGGCCAGCTGTCGGGTCGTATTCGCAGTGGAATCAGACACTGGTACGTGAAATTCACGAATCTGGTTACAGTATGCCTCGGGAAGCAGGAAACAATATCACACTAGGCTTTGACTTCCCCAGTGGTAATGAAAATAATGGGATCAAATGCGCTCGATAATAATGAGGGGCTCTAATGCAAGCGCCATTAGAATTTCCTCGCCGGCCAACGATCGGCCCACATTTAAGGCCGGTGCCGACAAGTCGAACGCCATCCTCACGCGGGGTGGAGCACAGCCATCGATGGTACCTACAGGGGGGGGGGACTACTTACATGCTTAGGAGGATGATTCCAGGAACATGTGGTAGTAAACAATACTATGTCTTGTCGGCTATAGTTTCGGAGTTTTTCTAACTAGCTGCAGTCATTGATAGTAGATATCTTACTCATGACGGATGAAGCCCGAGCACTCTCGAGTATTGTATTCGAATTTCATCGTCCCGTCTTCGCAACAACTGGCTTGAACAGTTGCATTAGTATACGAAAATTCCCTCATGGCACGGTTTCATCCGACCGCATGGGGTCTCTATCTTACTACAGCTTAGTATTATTGAGGGTAACCCGGGTAATGCCCTGGCGTACAGAGAATTATGCGTGGTCCGATCCTTGGCGACGTATTATTGCTCAGTCCAGGCAGGAAACAAACTGGCCTAGCAGTAGCTGAATGGATTACTGTGCTCCGGGAGATGTACAAAGTCAACGGACGAGGTTCCAGGCATTATTCTAAGGAAGACTTGTAACCGAGTATACCCCCCTCGCATGAGCACACCCGGTGACTGACGGGTATGAAAGGTTACCTAGCATGATACGGTACTGGGTAGTAAGTGAAGTTTGGTAACAAACGGTATGGAGCACAAAACTCTCTCACTTCTGCCGATACATCTTGCCTACTTGACAGGGGAAAGAATCGTTGTGAATAGCAAAGAAAGTAGAGGAACAAAACGGTTCCACATCTGCAATATGGCGCCCCCAGCACATGGGATGTCGATAAACATGCCATGGAATCCTATCGATTGGCTCTGCGCTTCATCATTGGGCTTTTGAGGCGTCGACAGAAAAGGAACCGGAAATTGAAGGCGACAAGAATGGGCAGAGAGGATTCGGTGCCTTTCCATGGGGTGATACCGCTATGCCTCAACAGGAAAGGAAGAGGGGCATCCGAGCACGATTCGAACGACGAATGGCAGCGGGTGCTTGCCTGAATCGGTTTAGCATCTTTCACTAGTACTAGAATTCGGCCTTTTGATAACGTCATGGGTGTTTTTTCAAATGTATGATCTCAGGGAAGTCAAGGCCGGCACCCCGCTCCTACCTTGGATACCGGGACTGTGTACAACAGGAATTGGGGATTCCCTCGGGGGTTTCTAGTCATTCTTCGGTTCTACTGGATCTCTATTACGGGCAGTGGGTTCAAGCCTACTCATTCCGTGGCTGAGTCCCCCATAACTACTAGGTACCCCTTTCACCCGCTGGCTTCCTTTGTATTGGTCCCTTTGAATACTACTTAAACAAAGTGAATGCCCTCGTCTCTGCCCCTCTTCTTCTGTCACTTTTCTCAGACAACTTACCCACAGACCTTTCGTGTCCTTCCTTCCTCTACAAATTAGAAAAAGACAACGGTCCCCTTTCCTGTCATATCCTCTTCCACCTTACATCGATCCCCACCCCGGCTTCTATCTCGCTTCGTTCCATAAACGTTCCTCTACTGCCATTGCTGTGCAACATTCTTGATCTCAATTCAGAAAAGATCTACTAGACTTGCATACATCATGCCGCAGGTAAGCTATCAATTCTTCATGCGATGTTGGCATGAACATAATGTGCTTACGAACCTTCATTGTAGATTACTGAGATCTTCTTCGACTGTGACAACACCCTCGTCCTCTCGGAAGAGCTGGCCTTCGAGGCGTGTGCCGATCTCGCCAATGAAATTTTGGAAAAGCAGGGCATCTCGGATCGCTACACGGGAGAGCAGCTTATCCAAGATTTTGTGGGTCAGAACTTTCGAGGAATGATGGTCTCCCTCCAGGCCAAGTACAAGTTCGAGTTGTCACAGGAGGAACTCGAGGAATACGTGAAGAAGGAGGAGGACAAGGTCATCGCTAAGCTGACTGACAAAGCTCAGCCATGCGTGGGTGTTAACGCTGAACTTGACGAGCTTCTCAAGTCCAAGAAGTATGGTCTAGCAGTGGTCTCTTCGTCTGCTTTGCGCCGTGTCCGTGCTTCGATCACGAAGGTCGGACAGGACAAGTATTTCGACAAAGATGCCGTGTTCAGCGCAGCCACCTCTCTTCCCAAGCCAACTTCGAAGCCGGATCCGGCTATCTACATCCATGCCCTCGAAGTGCGCAAGAAGAAGCCTGAAGAGGTGGTCGCTGTCGAGGACAGCAAGTCTGGTGCACTTAGTGCCATTCGTGCTGGAATCCCAGTCATTGGTTATGTTGGAAGCTACCACGGTGACGCTAAGCAGTTGGAAATGTCCCAACTTTTGCAAGGGCTGGGTGCCAAGGTTATCATGAAGGATTGGAGCGAATTCCAGAAATGTCTCCGAGAAATCGAGGAGTCCTGAATCTCTAGCAGATGGGGCCGTTTTGTACGCCAGTTACGATTATGAGCACGAAGTTACGATAGCAAGCGCGCTGGCCGTTCCGGGGTTTTGGGTCACTTCCTTCTATTCACATGGTGACATCTCAGACGTCTATGCCTCAGGTCCTCTACACGACCGACTTTGTTACCTTAGTCCATCGCGCAGAACACAATCACTCACCTTGTTGGGGAGCTGTCGTCTGATAACCCATGTGGCTTATCTGTATCATCTGCATAAGTCGCTTCAAGACCGGGATATCTACATTGTTACTCAATGTCTTTAATAGAGAGGTAATCATGGATTTAGGTACTTCTCTGGGCGCCTGCTGCCTGCACAATGAAATAGAGCTTATCTATTACTGTATTCCTTCAAGTAAAACAACATTGGTAGAAATCCTATTTCAGAGTATATTCTCAAAACTCAAGCACCCCAACGTAAACACAGTTCATAGTAGCAACCTACGGAACTGTTATGAGTGATCGCAGGGATGAGTATCCACCCGGGGAGCTGCGACTCGACTCCGGCCGGGTGGGCCTGGATCGCCTCAAAGGATCTATAGACGACCTCGACCATCACTTTATTGCTTATCCCCAGACTCATACCCTGCTTATTTTTTGCCGGACATACATGAGTGTCTGGCATTCGGATAATCGGCTGCATTATCTGCGTCTTGATTGGAGATGCGCCCATGCAACCATTTGATCCTTCGACCATTGCGGAGTAGAACAAGGTGGTTCCTGTCCTTCTCCCTCCAATGACCATAATTCTTCGCAAGTCCGCTGTTTCTACTTTGTAATAGCTCTGTGCTACCTGGCTACATGGGCTAAGCAAGTAATGGCCGATATTTCAGATATTACAGGGGTATAATGACTCACTTGACTGATGGCCACTCTTGGCCAGTGATTTTGAAGGCCCCTGAGACTATATAACCTGACCTGCAGCTTCGTCTGGCTCAGTTCTATTCTCTGAAAGAGCAGCAAGTCATATATCCTTTCTGGTGTGTTTTACAGGCTAGAAAATGATCACGTCTACCACTCCGTCCCGAGCTGCCAGAGCTCTGGCGTTTGGTCGACGGATGCCATCACAAAGAAAATCATCCTCGTTTGTATACCCTACAGTTCGTACAAATACCCATGATGCTAACGGTGAATCGTGTCATGTCAATACAGTCGTCTTCTCTCCTCATCCGCACACCGTTATGCCGACGAAACACTGAACAAAGTCTCCTCTAAGATCACACAGCCCAAGTCCCAGGGTGCATCTCAGGCGATGCTTTACGCGACCGGTCTGACGGAGAAAGATATGTCCAAGGCACAGGTTGGAATCTCATCAGTGTGGTTTGAAGGGAACCCCTGTAATATGCACTTGATGGATTTGTCGTCGCTGGTCCGTGACTCGGTAGCCAAAGCCGGCCTGGTCCCCATGCGCTTCAACTCCATCGGTGCCTCTGATGGCATTAGTATGGGCACATCTGGCATGCGTTTCAGTTTACAGAGCCGAGAGATCATTGCCGATGGAATTGAAACGGTCATGAACGCCCAGTGGTACGATGCTAATATCTCGTTGCCTGGCTGTGATAAGAACATGCCAGGTGTGTTGATGGCTATGGGCCGGGTTAATCGCCCGAGTATCATGGTGTATGGTGGTAGTATTAAGCCCGGCTGCAGTGCGGGGGGTAAGCCACTTGACTTGGTCAGCGCCTTTCAGTCGTATGGTCAGTATCTCACTGGTGAGATCGACGAAAAGGAACGATTCGATATCATCCGACACGCTTGCCCTGGTGCTGGTGCTTGTGGGGGGATGTATACTGCCAATACTTTAGCCACGGCCATCGAGACTCTCGGTATGACTGTCCCTGGAAGTAGCAGTACGCCAGCAGAGGATCCACGTAAGCGGGCAGAGTGTGAGGATGTTGGGCAGACAGTGAAGAATCTGCTGAAGGAGGATATTCGGCCCAAGGACGTCATGACGCGGCAGGCATTTGAGAATGCCATGATTGTCGTGAATATTCTTGGCGGCAGCACCAATGCGGTACTGCACTTGATCGCCATCGCTGATTCCGTTGGGATCAAGTTGACCATCGATGACTTCCAGGCCGTGTCAGACAAGACACCTTTCTTGGCTGACCTGAAGCCTTCCGGCAAGTATGTCATGCATGACCTGTACAAGGTCGGGGGCACGCCAGCATTGCTGAAGTTCCTGCTCAAGGAAGGCCTTATCGACGGCTCCGGAATCACTGTCACTGGCAAAACCATGAAAGAGAATGTAGCCTCATGGCCCGAGTTCTCACCTGACCAGCCTATCATCCGTCCCCTAAGCAATCCTATCAAGCCAACCGGCCACTTGCAGATCCTCCGTGGGTCATTGGCCCCTGGCGGCTCTGTTGGCAAGATCACCGGCAAAGAAGGTCTTCGGTTTGAAGGTATCGCCAAATGCTACGACTATGAGGATGCTTTCATCGAGGCCCTCGAACGAGGTGAGATCAAAAAGGGCGAGAAAACCGTCGTCATTATTCGATACGAAGGACCCAAGGGTGGTCCCGGTATGCCTGAGATGCTCAAGCCCAGCTCAGCCATCATGGGTGCCGGATTAGGTCAGGACGTTGCGCTCCTCACTGATGGGAGATTCTCTGGAGGTAGTCATGGCTTCTTGATCGGGCATGTTGTGCCTGAGGCTATGGAGGGCGGGCCCATCGCCCTGGTGAAGGATGGCGATCGAATCGTGATTGATGCGGAGCAAAGAGTGGTTGACTTGCTGATTGCCCCGGAAGAGATGGAAAAGAGAAGAGTTGCTTGGACGGCACCGGCGCCTCGGGCGAAGAAGGGGACATTAAGCAAGTATGCGAAGCTGGTGAGCGACGCGAGTCATGGGTGCGTGACGGATGGGCCAATCTAAGCTAGAAGTTAGTTTCCCTCAAGTAGCTACTTCAATGCAGAATATATTGAACCAGACATATTATTCTTCCTATGAAAACTACTGTGCTTATACGTATTAATGTTTATATGATCGACCAACGCTGCTCCTAAATTTACTTCAAGTTGCCATCCTGCAATAGTAGTCCAACCAGATGACTACTATCTACATCCAGCATCGATGCTCCTCAAACAACTACAACCACCACAACACACACACACATAAACCTGCCTGCCACTACAACCACTACACTTTCACACAATCTATTCTCCCATATACCAGTAACCTCCTCCTACCCCTCCCAACCTCTCTTCAAAATAATCCAGATACCCCAACCCCCAACCTCTCAATCCAGATCCAAACCCAGCTCCCCAACACGATAAGATAAGGGCTAGCCCTCTAACCCAATCCGGTTGGTGACCCCCTCAGTTGACCAGCTTAGTTTGATAGTTTCCCCTCCTGCTACGTCAGTCACCCGAGACCAGTTGTTTACTCCCTACCTCTACAATCATTGACCTTTTACACCTTCTCCATATAAACCCATTAGACATAGACCCGCTCCATCCGATACCCTTACCACCAATTTATTCCCTCCACCCCTTCTGTTTGTAAAAGTGCAACATGTCCGATCCCAAATACGCCGGGTCGAAGTTGCTGTCGAGGGGTCCGTTGGTATGTATATACTACATATGAATGGTGTTTTACCATCCATTAATTACAGTGTTGCATATGGGGATTGATATATGCAGAATGGATTGATACTGATAGAAATACTCTCTTATAGGACCCCAAAGAAGCCAAATGGACTCGACTGGTCATGTCATCGTATACGGATCCTAACGGTGTTGAGAGGACATGGGAGTCTGCGGAGCGTCAGGTATGATTTACTTTCCTCCCTGCAACTTTCTTCTTGTTGGCGTTTCTGTCGGTGTTCTCCAATTGAAGCATTCTTTCTTTCTGGGGTGAAGTGATAGTTCTGCGATGCATGCTTGCTAATTGCTTCAAGACCCGCCCCGCAAACTGCGAGATTGACGGCGTTGGAATCGTGACAATCCTCAACAAGGAAACCGGACCAGAACTTCTCCTGCAGAAGCAGTACCGTCCACCTATCGATAAGGTGGTCATTGAGGTGCCCGCGGGGTTGATTGATCCTAATGAGACGGTGGAGGAGTGCGCTGTGCGGGAGCTTAAGGAGGAGACGGGTTACGTTGGTGTGGCGGAGCAGACTAGTAGTGTTATGTATAATGGTGAGTTTTACTTTCTTTTCTTTTTCCCTCTTCGGATTAGACTAGGCTACAGTATCTGTCGAGCATGGATTCAATTTGGATGGTCTGGGGTATTGACTGACGGTGTCTACAGACCCTGGGTTCTGCAATACCAACCTCAATATGGTGCATGTCCGGGTGGATATGTCGTTGCCGGAGAATCAGAACCCGAAGCCCCAGCTCGAAGACAATGAGTTCATCGAGTGCTTCACTGTGCCTTTGTCTTCGTTATTTGAGGACATGAAGAAGCTGGAGCGGGAGGGATATGCTATTGATGCTCGGGTGGGCACAATAGCTGAGGGAATCGAACTTGCGAAGAGATTCAAGCTTTGAGCTGTATGTAGATGTTTCAGCTTTGGCTCCGTCTTCGTCCCGTACCATGGATCTGCACATCCTATGGTATTCTGACGACACTGCCGTTAGAGTCGATATACTGTCGAATGCGATATATTTACATTGGTGTGAGTGTTACTGCTTCCAGTATTAGAGCCCACAAACAGCTGCGGAATGTGGAAATCCGCCTACAGCAGCCCCTCCTCCTTGAGGCCTTTGTATAGAGCCCACGCGGCAAGGGTCTTCCCATCCCGCAGACCCTCTTTCCATAGATCGCGCAACGGTACCACCTTCAACGTGATCTTCTCACCATGCTGTCGTAACCCAGTTAGTCGTCCTTGCAGGCTGTCAATTTCCTTGCGCGACATGCGCTTCTGACATAAGAACAAAGGAATAAACTCGTCGCTCCCACCGGCCGACGGGTATACTGCCTTTTGCAACGTCTCGCCCTCTTCTGGCACGGACTGCAGAGCTAGCGATGTCATGTCAATTAGCTCCTCCTGTGGTATTGTCAAGCCTGTTTCCTCTTGAATCTCCTTTGCTGCACCACCAGCGAACGATCCACTGTCATCGAGCATGCCGGCTGGAATTTCGGGAAACGCAAGAGAACCCGCGGGGATACGAGGTTGGATGGTTAAAATGGCACGCTTCTCATCTTCTGCCGATGGAGGCACATCGTCTGGTTGAAGTATGAGCTAGAAAACAGAGAAGCAGCGTTAGCATTATATCAGTTGCCAGTAGGCGATAGAGAGAGGGTAGCCCGCTTACCAACATGCCTACGCTGCCACCGCGCAAGAACACGCTTCCCGGGAGGGTCTCTCCATTCTCATTTGACACCTCCGCTTTGAACTTCAAGAAGCCTAGACGGCCACCACCGAAGCGGTCCACGCTCTGGATTTCAATTTTCCGCAGGACGTAGGGGTCTTTGGAGAACTCGTGGGAAGGTTGTTGCTGGCGACTCAAGGAGTGTTGCAAGGTGGTGAGCCAGATACGGAAAGCTGGGAATCGCAGCAGATCTTCACGAGACAGGTCTGCCGGACAGGAGACGGGTAGAGTAGCCGAGCCATTATGGTCCAGATTGCGAGGAATGGTAAATGTGGAGAAGGACATTGTGAGAGTCAAAGGTAGGCAGCGAAGGAGGAGAGCTGGTCGCGTATGTCGCACAGACGCCGATAGCCACCGGGCGGGCGTCATGAACCGAGCCGAGGTGTGGAACGGGCGGAGGAAGAGGGACGGGCGCTTAACGTTAATCGGAGAGGTTTGGAGTCATGTAAAGAGCGATGTAGACGTGAGCCTTATCTTAAGAGTCTTCTTTCAGTGATAGCACCGTGGTCGTGGGAGCTATTGAAGCTATTGGAGCTAATGGGATGGATTATTGAAGGGAACATGAGGGGGAAATTGTTCAGGGGAGAGACGGAGAAGAAGAGCATGACGTCGTCGGCTTCGCAGCTTGTTTCCGCAGTGTCCGAACTGCCCTCATCGGACCAAAGTCTAGACGCGGTGGCTCCTCCGATCCTCCCAAAGACAGACAAGGATAAATGGATGGAGGGATCGATTGATCGATTGATCGGTTAGGGATACCTCCGACGATGGATGGTCAAACAAAGGAAAAGTCGGGGACTGAACGCCGGAGTAGCCTCTTGTTTCGTCCAAGTCCAAGTCCGAACAGCTTCTTTGACTGGCTATTGGATCAACAACCCAAGACATTGTAGTAGTATCCTTAATGCCAATCGTCTCGACAAGGTACAAAGTACCATTCAAACCAACCAACCAACCAACCAATCCCTCAACTAACTTTTTTCCCTTTCCTCTAAATATCACTTGACCAGTCCCCGATTGCTTTCCAGGAATGGATCCAACGGATCGCCGTGTCTTGCGGGGTCCGACGGTGACACTGACTGTCTCTTTCTTCAACCTCTCACTGACACCCTCCCAATCCAACCTCTCTCTCTCTCTCTCCTTCTTCTCTTTCTCTCCTTTGCTCTCCTCCCTCTTTTTTTCTCCCTATTCTTGTGAGACTCTCGGAAGCTTGTCCTCCATATTGTAGTCTCTTCTCTCCGTGTCTCTCTCACTCTCCTCCTCTCCTACTACTACCATCTACCCTGCAGCTAGCCTTCCAGTCCGATTGGATCGGTGATCTGGTCCCCGAAGTGCTACTGCTCGTTGTCAGCCTGCTTGAAACTCCTTCCATAATTCATTCTACCCCTTCGTATCCGTTGTTGCTGTCGTTCTAGAAAGCTTCCCATATTGCCTGTGCGCCTGGTCTTCCAGTGATTCCAAGCTTCTCTTGTTTGACTTCCTTCCCCTCAAGCCTCTTGCGTTTCGATGAGGTTTTGGTTCAACTTCACTGGGAACTCAAGAACCCAGAATTCAGGCTCGGCTGGGAGTTGGTCCGACTAAGGAGAGTCCGGGAATCCATCGGCGTTAAGCTTCAGCTGCCATTTGGGTTTCCTGTTTTGGATTCCTGCTTCTCCCCGATTACTCTCTCACACCTGCTCGCTTGCTCCCGTGGTGTCTTCATTACATCGTTGGCTCATTCAGATCATGATCTCAGACACAATCTGAATTTGGTGGCCAGTACGAAACATTGAACAGCCTGGACACAGCCTCTTGTTGGCAGGATTGTTGCGGAGACGCTGGTGCTTCTATCGACTTTGGAAAGTGCCGCTTTCATGGATTTTCCCTTCAGCATATAATATAAACGCGATAACCAGCCCAACGACCCGACCGACATTCGGCGGTAGTAGGACCACAGGAAGGCAAAATTCAAAACAGCATGTATGCATTCACTCCCTATCCCTGCCTGGATTAAGCTATTAGTTGCGGGTTATGTTTATCCAGTCATCACTTCTCAGTCTGCATTGACAAGCACTCTGCCCATCTCGACATATTGCGACTACATATCCTATCAATGGTCTATATATGTGTGGACTGTTACCGATACTTATTTCAGGAAGCTGCAAGAATCCCCCAGTCACTGTGAAAGTGATAGGGCTTTGGATATATCGTCTGATGCAGCGGAAGGAGGCATAATCCGATTGCCTGTTTTCACTGCTGGGTTGTGGTCCACTGCCAGGAAACCCACTGGGATGACCACTCACTATTCCTAGTTACTCTGCTCTAGTGAAGCGAACCGCTTCTACACATCTCCACCTTAGTATACTATCTCCATTTACGCTTCTTGTGTTTGTCACAGCCTTTTAAACCCTGTATGCTGTCGATTGCGATTTCATCGGTACCTGTTCATGAGCCTCCTATTCGTGAGAATACAACTCTCGCTTGATAGAAGCTAGAAGCGTGTAGCTACTAGCTGATGCGCCATTAGCGTACCACATCCAGGGAACACTACTCCTACGCCTGCGTCAGGGTGACCATTACTCATGGACTCTGCGAGTCGGCCTGCTTTTGAAGGGCTTCCCACGGCGATTCCCAACGATACCAACTTCCAAAACACCCCAACTTCAGCCACCTTGGCCCAGCCTAACACCCAAGACGTAATGGACATCATTCCTGACGTGCCGCGTCCGACATATCATCAAGAAGGTTAGTACAACGATGCAAGTGATGTTGTTTACTAGTGAAATAACAGAATGCTTTCCAGTCCCTACGGTCGCGAGTCTGTCTGGGGCTCCAAACACCTTCTCAGCCAATGCTGCCTCAAACCAAACAGATTCTTTCACTCCACAGCAAACACCACCGAGAACCTACTTCTCATACTTGAGCAATGGCGTCATAACAATGCCCCGTTACACGCCGAACCAGTACTACGGGGAGCCGAGCAATATCGGTCATCAACTGGATTATATTCCTGGTGGAGATCGAGGTCGCTCATTCGCGTACCCTCATACACGAACTCTCTCACTTCCACAGAACCAACACAGCGGCCTTCCTGCCTACCCCCAGCGAGACCCGCGTTCAAGCAACACCCGACCAGCAATGTCCATGACGACCACGCCGGAATCAGCATCTGCCATCTCACCGAACGACGCGTCACCGAACAACGCCGATTCGACATCATCCACTGCAGTGGTTCCGCCAACACTTCGACCTCGAGGTTACGTGCCCCCATCAGCGAGGACCCAGCAAGGAACACAGCACCCAGCCCATACTGCTGCTTCTCCAGGGCCAACGTCGTCAAGTTATCATCAGCAGTCGCAAGCTCAACAACATTCGCATGCATCTGGTCCATTCTCTCATATGCCGCCCTATCTTGAAGAACATGACAATGGCGCCTATAGTGCTCCACTAGCTACAACGCCTGCCCAGTCATCGTCGGCCAACTTTGTAGCAACTGGCACGCCGTCTTCACGCTCGATGAATGCGGGAACCCCCAGATATGGGCGCTCTCTTCCGCAACGGCTAGAGCTTGCTCGGCGAGCACATTTCCACGCCCATCCACACAACCAGCAGGCTGCGCAGGCCATCGTGGAGGCTCATATGCAGCTGCAGCGCCAGCGCTTGCTCCGTCAGCGCCAGGGGCTCGGTACCAACCCCACGAAGCCAGCCGCAAGTCTTGATAATGCGAAAGACGGCCGCCCCGAACCAAAAGAGGCGCACGAAATGCGAGTATCACTCGAATGCAAGGTTTGCTTCACCCAACTCGTTGATACGGTACTGCTTCCTTGTGGTCATGCTGTCCTCTGTCGATGGTGCGCCGAGATCCAGATTCCAAGCAGCGTCCTGGAACGAGGCGTGCTTGGGGGTCAGCCCCCGTGTGTGATATGCCGAGCGCCTGTGAGGCAAAAGGTATAGAACCATATTTAATACTCCCCGAGAATTTGAAAATTACTCACACTAACTTGGGGTCACAGATGCGGATCTTCCTTTCTTGACATATGCAGTGCTATGGCACCTTCAATGTACCGATACACATCGCTGGTTAGTTGGTACTAGTTGCTACTTACTGCCTTGGCTTTATTGGTGTGTGCGCTTGAGAGACACACAGTATGTGGCTGGCTTTGCATACTCGGGAGTTTCAGGTTTGGAGTAAAATTGGGATTTCTTTTAGTGCATTAGAATACAGCTCATGTCCAGAATCTAGAAATGAAAACTGAGTTGATAAATTCACCATACTCAGTGTGAATCATCTATGCTATGCACGATGCTTCCTCCACATTAACTACGACTACTTTGGTACTACCTAGATAGTACTTACGATAAAGAGTCACGATCTAGATCCTTTAGTTTTATAAAATACCTACATGCACAACCGCACAGAACCTCGTATCCCACGCCTCGCTCAGGCGAATCTGCAGGGGGGAAAAAATCCGGGAATTAAAAGACCTGAGAAACAGAATAAAATATTCTCCTCCATGAAAACCGGATAATTGAAACTCGACTCACGCATGGAAGGCGTCGGTGGTGGTTCGTGGTTGGATAGATCGACCAATCATGATAACGGATGATTGAGATCGAGTCAATACTAGTACTTAGTACTAAGTACTATCTCTTTAGTAGTTTCATTACTTCGAAAAGTACGTACTTAGGGAATGGATACATCGAAGGGGGTGTTGAATATCTGAGTGGCGTTTGGCTGTTACCGTGGTTGGAAGGACAGACGGGAACTGTTGTTTCCTTCCTTTTTGGGGATTAGTACTTAGTAGTTTGTTTCATTGGCATTGGGTTTGGTTTGGTCTTATTTGGGAGGAGGGCTTGTATACCTAAGTGTCCTTCGTTATTTCATTTGTATGGTATTTTCTTACTAAGATTTAGAGATATTTGCTGGGTTGTGGGACAGGGCCGGAGATGGGATATCTCTCCGGTTTGGGGCAGTGTTGCGGAGGATTTGAAGTGTATCAGGTGAGGGTTGTTTGTTCATTGGTTGTTTGTAACTAGGTTATTCCTTGGTCTTGCTGGGGCAGTGTCACACTGGCTAAGTAGCTACTTAGTAAGCAGTTAGGAATGCATGAATAGGCATTATTTTTCTCCAAATGTTTGATTCATCTTATTAAAGGCTTTCGTTGTGTTCAGGGCTGATGGATATACATACCCATGCGGAGGGCTGTTTGGGAGGTATGCAGAGAGAGTATGCGGATGTAGTTAGTGTTATTGATTCTGTGACTAGAAAGAGTAGTTAATGGGTGGACAAAGCAAGATACAGTACTCACCATCTCTTTTGATTAATCAATCGCATTATTCAAGCTGCACAGGTTTCCTATGACATTCCGATGCAGTTGACCCTTCATCAACGATGGCGCAGAAGCCGATATTGTTTCCCACCCCCCAGCTCTTCTGAATTCCCGAATCATACGCATCTCATCGTCGCAAAATATCGGGCTCATATGCATTACCTGAAGGTTCAGTCTGAAGCTGCGAGTAGCCTTATTAGGCCATGTCAGAGATGGGCAGTTTCTCTGCAGAACCTCCCAGTGCGTGTGCTGCACGAGTGTTTAAACCGGCGTGCATGCGCTGGCTCTGCTTGATGCGCTGGAACTCTTGGAAAACTAACGAGGAGAAATTGCGATCCTCTCATTTGGATGAACGTTTTGGGGAGCTCCTATCACTTGCAGTGGTGCTGACGAGTGGCTAATTGACCCGTCGGGGATACTGCTGCGCTTGAGAGGGCACCTGCTTGGCGTGACGGGAGTTGGCAGACTGTGGAGTTGACTTGGCAGTGAGCTGGACCACCACAGATTAGTTCACCGGCGGGTCAAGGTTGTTCTTTCAGTATTATCCGGAGGGGTTGAGAGAGTGGGATTGTTGGTATGGAAGCATAGCGTATGGATAAATGAGTGGAAGCTTTCTGGATGAAGGAATGGAATTGATATTGGGGGGGGTAAGTGGTCCTGTGATCACGGGCAAAAGAAGGTCTAGTGTCAAAAAGAAACTGAAAAGAGTAGTTAGTTCACCTTGGCTCAGTCAATGTGATTTACAAGAATAGCAAGCAATTGAATACGTGGGAGGGAAAGGGGTCAAGGGAAAACCCCCCTCAAGGTCAAGAGGACAGAGGGATGAGATCCAACACGGCGAGGTGCATCGCAGGGCCTCCATCCAGCCCTGGACCAATTGCCCGATCAAGGACCTAGAATGGGACCGCCAAGCCAGGGTTTTCATCCCCCGGCAACGTGCATGGGCCGCATGGGAAAAGGCAACCACTAGCAAAGAACCGGGGAGGCGTTGTTTTCATGGTTTGGATCTTGGGGAAGTATCTGGCCAGTGAGCTTGCCAGTCTGCAAGCCACGGTAGGAGAAAGGAGGCCCTAGTCAAGGTAGCTAACTAGCCATCACTTTGAAAAACAAACTATCTTTAGGCCAGCCAGGGTCTAGCTATTCCCTCTTATACACTACTATTTGATAGTCCATACAGAGCCTATCAACCGGCTTTTGCTTCTCTGCTCGTGCCGGTGTGGGTACTATGTAGTATGTATGCGCATTGACCGTTGGTCGCTGTCTCTCTCTCGTTGAACTGTTTGTCTTAGAGTTGCAACACATCCCTGCATGTTATAGTAGGGGCGATTGCTCGTCGAAGATCATGCATCTGTAGCTGGTAGGGGATGAGCAAACAGGTATGGTGAGCTGCTGTTCCAATGCAGGTATACATGCTGATGCTGCAATACAGAGGTCTGAGTGTTATGTTTCAAACATGATTTACCAGCCGTTTATCATGGCTGTGATTTGATATCATCATTGTACTACTGCCCTTGACCAAGGGGGCATCTGCAATGATAGCTTTCCATTAGTCCTGTAGATAAGTGAAACATTTTCCATTTCGCCTTCCTGGTAATTGGAATCCAATAGGTCAGCACCACAGGTAGACCGTTACCTGGTTGACCTATTCCAGGCGTGGGTGTGCATAAGAAGATCTATACCACTGCAAATATAAGCTAAATTTTCCATTACCTAAAATCATGGTAACGTCAGACGTGTCTGGGTTGGTGCCAATAGCTTTATCGTCTACCAAGGTACGGAAATCGATAGCCTTGGGCGACTCAAATTTTGGTCTTCAATGGGATATATTATAGCCTAACCTGGCAAGGCTAGGCAGTGAAAACGATATGTTATGTGGTTCAATGACTAGCTTCGGAGTCCTCCTTTCGCTTGTCAACTTGGCCTTGACAATCCCGTATTCGTAAGCATTGAGCCGCACTAGCAGTATCTTCGCCTTTGTATTCTGCTGGTTTTTCCTAGGGCGTCTTGTGTCATTACTGATTGTAGTCACCAATTGTACGGATCTGGTTCGTATCGATGCGTGAACGGTAGATCGCTTATTTCCAGCCCATTGTAGGCTCGTAGTACCCAAATATATACCTGCGAAAAGGGATGCTGTCCGACACTTCCTCCACCCATCCAGCGCGCAGAGAGTTTGGTTCACACTTTTGGAGCATCACGACGCCGTGAAACCTGGGAAGAAAGTATCCGCCCCAATAGTACCTGCCAGTCGACATGCGGTACCAGTGACTCTTAAACGATAGCCTTGCAATGACAGGTCACTCCACGCCGGGTGGCAAGTTAGAGGGGGTGTACTACCATGGAATGTCGGATATAGGTAGGCGTGTGATCTCAGAAGACTTGTGGGAACGCTGCGAAATCCGTACGGACTGAACTGGCTGTGTCTGCACGGCCCCCTTGGGCCCAATATCGGTCAGGCGGGCAGCGCCCAAACGATCGAAAGACGGGCCTGTCATAATGTCCTTACTTTTAGGCACTGGTATCTGCAGTACCTGGCTCATTTAGTAGTAAGTGTGTCTGTCTGTCTGCCTGTCTTATGTCAGACATATGTATCACGACAAGCTAGAGGTGCCTGTCAATGCAATCTTGGGCTTTGTCCAAGGGAGACAGCACTGACAAATATTCAATCGCACGCCGATTGCTCTAGTTAGGATTGGGGGTGTTGACAGATATGAGGCCATATGTATAGCAACACCACCTCGAGGTTAAAGGCAGACCGTCCCACTCTTATACGACTGATCCACACCACTAGCTGATAAACTACCAGCCTCACTGGGGCGGCAGGTCGATCAAGCCCTGAATCACACCTGGCCATCTCTCAAGCTCAAGCCTTTCCGACGTTGAACGTGGCGCGCTGATCGCGATTCGGTCCCCACATGCGACATGTTTTTTCTACTATTGACTAGCTACCGTCGGTATGAAGCGGTTCGGCAGCACTTGGAGTCGGCCGGTAGCCGTGCTCGTGCACTTACTTGATAACAACCGACCTACATAAATGTGCTCCTGTATAAGAGGCAAACAGTGCGTTGCTGTACTGTTGCAAAGTGTCACCAACTCTATGTAGGTTTCGAAGCCGAACCAGAGTAGCGGTGTCCATGCAAGGGCAATCCCGATTATTTAGTCTGCTCAGTACGTACCCGGTGAAGAGGGGAAACAACCGGGAATGAAAACTGGCCTTTGCCGGTTTGTCATTTTCTGACCCCTTAGGCCAAGGCTTGTAGAATCCATTGTTGGCGGGGAGGGGGTTTTGTGGCTATGGCAAAACACGGACATTTTCGCCCATGATCAGATCAGGCAGCGACTCCCTTAAGAGGGGTTCCCAACAGAGTTGTGGTTCGACGCTGTCAACCGCAGCCTTGGTGCGGCAAATCAAACAGGTCGGAGGTTAAACGCCGCTCAGGCGACCAGCAGTAGTAGCATCCGTTGTCTCGGTGAAGATCGAATAGCACCGCGTGGGCGCGAATTCGAGAAACTGTGGATTCGTCAAGGGAGGGGGACACACCTTATAAAGCAAGGGCAACAGCACCCTCATTCCTGGAATTAAGCTTGTTGGTTTTAGTGGCGATGAGGGTCGAGTCAAGTATGCCCACAGGCTGCTGCATGCAAGGAGCTCCGGTAAATGTGGTCCTCCCCAAATCATCGGGTCCTAGCATCAACATCGCCAATTCAGCTAAAGTTTGTTTTGGTTTGTCTGCCAACTCCTCAATTCTTGCGGGAAGACCGTCAAAGATAGATGGTAATTAGAGACTATTGAAACAGGGGGTGACAGATAAGTTTGCCACGACCCTCGTGGAGATTTTAGGGGACAGGGGGGGGGGGGGGAAAGAGAAAGAGAGTGGGAAGGAACAAGGAAAGAAGGCATAAGATTGGAGATCCGGAGCGTGGGCAGCTTTGGTGGTAACCGAGTCGGTAGTATACTATGATATCCAATTTACCCTTCCTGGAAGGATGTGGCGCTCGAGGAGAGGGGAAGTCGATCGGCTATTGCTAGCAAACCGTCGAGACAGAGACCATTAACTTTTTGTCCATCCAGAGTGAGCTTGCCGAAGTGTCTTTGAAAGCCGTGATCACAGGCAGATAGAATTGAAGCAGGAGCAATAGTAAGTAGTACGGAGCCGTCTTTTCTTAGTAGTATAGCGGTAGCAAAGCGGCGCCACACAAGGCCGGGGAGCGAGAGACAAAACCTCGCCACGATGCGGTTCTATTCGGAGTTTGGGGGGAAAGAGAGAGGGGGCAGCGAAAGAGAAATGTGAAAAGGGAATGATATAGGCAAAGGACTGATCGGGTCCGATCTTCAAAGTTCACCAGATGATCATCCCAGAGCATTACCAGGTTGATCCCTTGAGAGAAACTGGATGGAGAACAGCGAGTGGGACAAAGCCGACGAGGCAACTGCCCGCAAATCGTCAGGCTACCGAAAACTGCGGCTTACCAACCCCCATCCGTATCCTTACCCGAGTTTGGTCACTTTCGTGGTGATTCTGGTAATTACAGGCAGCCATAGCCGCCAAGTCATCCTTACCACAATACCGGAAAATTACCGCAGTGAAACCGTTTTATGGTGATTATGAAAGGGCCAGTCAAGCCAGTTCCAGCCAGCCAAAGACCAGCCAGCCCCTCTCTTCCTGGTATCAATACCATCCATCCAAGTATCACCGGTAAGAGTCAAAAAAGTTAAGTCAGTCGTACAGTAGTAATAAGTAAGTAAGTAAGTAAGTAAGTAAGTAAGTAATGGAAGTGAAAATTAGTTTTCATTAGTAGAACAACCAAAAAGGAATTGAAAAATCAAGAGAAGAAAAATAAAATAAAATAAAATAAAATAACACAGAAAGATAGAAAGAAAAGAAAGGAAGAGAAGAGGATGAAGAAGACTAACTAACTACTTTTCCTTTCCCTTTTCCCTTTTCCCTTTTCCCCCTACGGTAAGTAACTAATGTACTGCTCCTGCTGCCGCCGCTTGCTGGAAACTGGCTGGCTGCGTTGGTTGCTGCTGTTCGCTCTTCTTCTTCTCCGCCTTCTTCTTAGTCGCTTTTTGTCTCCGCGATTTGACCTTCTCGATCTATCCATTCTTCAAGGGAAAATTAGCCTTCCTACTATCACGCCGAGGTGGGTTGGACTATCAATCGTTGCTTTCGGTGTTCGTGCGCAATTTTCCTAACCGGTTTGCTCACTCTGATTCCTAGGCAGAGATGACTTTAGTTGCCTAAAGAACCTAAATGTCATCTGCCTCTTAAATAATCCCGCCGTGTCCCTCCAACGTGTCCAGGTCAGTATTACCATTATTTTTTGATTATTATCGTCAGTTCCTTATATTATTATGACTGTCGTTTATTTACCTCCTTCTCCTGCCCATGTCTACTATTCTTCTACTTAAAAGCCCTCTGCTACTGCTACTACTACCACTACCACCATCACTACCACTGCTACTACTGCTACTATTCCTCCTCCTTCTCTTCCCTTGCTCTCTCGATCTACTATCTCCCTGTGATTCGCTGTGCTGTTCAAGGTTTCCCAATTTTGCTTGTCACATAGGCCTTGATGTCATTGTAGATCTGATCTGATCTATTACTCTCAAACCACTGCCCCGTCTCTCGTTCTGTTCTCCTTTCGGCTTCCTCCGTCGTCGCCAACATCACTTCACTTGCGCCGCGATTACTATATATTAGTCTTTTTCTCTACTTGCGCACATTCACCCGCTCCTCTTTTGTTCGATCTTCCTCTTTCCTTCTCGTCTCTGCAGTCCTTCTTCCCCAGGACCACTACTGTTCTATTATCACCGCCACTACCACCGCCACCACACCATCCTTCACTTGTCGCATTAGCTCCACCATCATCGGACTGATCGTCTTATCAATACTTGGTGTTGGACGGCTCGCTGATACGGATCAGATGACGTGTTACATAACCCTACGGTAGCCAATACGATGAGTGACGGAAATGCTGGCCAGGACTCCCTACTGGTTTCATATCATGATCGAGCTTCTTCTGCAACAGCCCTACTAGAGCCCGTCAACCCGGACATCCATCCGAATTCTTCCTCCCACCCCAAGTGAGTAGTGTTCCCCCCACACACCGGGCTATTGAACCAATTCCAGAAAGCTTGTCCATGTATCGCGCTATGATATTGTATCTTCTGCTTTTTTGGTCTATCAAATTATCGTCGGGTAACTACCATCTGCGGTGTTTTTAACAGTCCATATAGGAAGCCACTACCACCGTTGGTGTCGGATGCTGGCTCCCCTGCCGGATCCTCTACTACCAATCGAGCGTTTCACTCTGCCAGTGCCTCATTTTCGCACAAGAGAGGCGACTCAGGGGGCGCCATCCCGGATGATTTTGCCTCGGATGGCGTGAGTGAGCAAGCGGCCGACCTTGCTTCCTCCAACGTGCCGAACGGGTGTCGTCAAGCATGGCAGGAGCAATGGAGGCGGTCTGACACCGAGTTTGTCCGCCCATCAAGCCGCGCAGTAGCTGAAAGTCGAATGGGGCAGGCTAGTCCGGCTGACAGCAATTCCCGCCTTCCTAGAGATGCCGCCCCCACGGCGGACGACATAGGCGAAAGTAATGGCGGCTCATCCCCGCTTCATTCGCAAGCATTTCGCTCCAGTCCCATCATGAATGCCGGCCGTCCGCCAATGAACCCAAGCGCCAATCCAGACGAGATGGCCTCCCTCTCCGAAGTGTCACGGGGGTCTGCGGAGGGTCTGAGCTATGGCCAAGAGTCCGCGAGACAATTGAGCAATGCTCATAGTCCCGCCGGCGCGGTCACTGGGACATCCGGAGGTACATCAGCATCAAATGGGCTTATACTTCAGCTAGTAGAAACTGATTATTGCACAGAAGAAAAACTGATTCAGGATGTTCGAGGAATCTATGCTGGGTTGGTGATGGCGGAAAATAGATGCGAGGTGTGGCACAAGCGGGTCCAAGAATGGCCCACGATGACGCAGGTTCAATATCAAAGCTTGGTTGGAATCCACGGAACTATGCTGCAAGAGTATCACGATTTCTTTCTTTGCTCCCAACATCCTGTCGCGAGCCCTGCGCTCAAACGCCTAGCGGAGAAATATGCCATGCCCGCACGACTATGGCGCCACGGAATCCATTCGTTGCTGGAATTGCTGCGCCACCGGCTTCCTGAATCCTTGGAGCACATGCTAGCCTTCATCTACTACGCCTATTCCATGATCACACTGATGCTCGAATCGGTGCCTGCCTTTCAAGATACCTGGATCGAATGTCTGGGAGATCTCTCACGCTACCGGATGGCCGTGGAGGAATCCGACCTTCGCGAACGTGAAGCCTGGGCGGGCGTGGCACGATACTGGTACAACCAGGCTGCAGACCGGAACCCGAATGTGGGCAGAATCCAGCATCATCTGGCGGTTTTGGCCCGACCGGATATCATCCAGCAGTTGTTTTACTATACGAGATCTCTGGTCAGTGTTCAGCCGTTCGCGGGCACACGGGAGAGTATTTTTCTCCTATTCAATCCTTTCCTGAGAGGGCCCCGAGCACTTGGTCGTCTGCCACTAGTAAGCGCTTTTGTGACCGCACATGGCCACTTGTACACTAGAGACGTCGGAGATCGCTTTATTAAGTCGATCGACACATTTGCATCGCTTCTGAACCAGACTATAAGCCAATTGGGGGCTGCATTCAGGCTACAGGGGTTCTTCATTTGCGCTTGTAATATTTCCGCCATGCTAGAATATGGCAGCCCCGACGCTTACCTGGGCCTCGAGTTCCAGGAGGCGGAGCAGTCGCAAGTAGAGTCACTAGACGAGGTCTACGACTCTGCTGCCAACGCCTGGATTCCTGTCAATGACCTCGAGGCCGTGCAAGCAGAGTTCTTAGCATCTCGGGACTCCCCAAATCCATCGCCTCTGCTCTTTTACGGGTCCTACCTCGCTTACCACACTTTGTCCGTGATGCTCGAACAAGTCAATCAGGTCCCTGACAGGAACATATACGCAGCATGCCATGTCTCTCTAGCGTTCCTCTGGTGCTTGTCACTTACACCGCGAGGTATGAACCGCCTGGAAGTTGCAGTACCGTGGAGAAAACTTGTGTCTTTTCTCAATACTCTGTTTCGCAGCTACATCAGGCCCGAGATCGCCGAGAGGGAAGACTTTCCCGTTTCGGAAGAGACCACCTGGGTAGCGGAAGACTTCCTTATCCGTGGCCAGATCTGGAGCCAACGTCTCTATCCTGCATCTTTCTTCGACAACGCACCTACTGCCGGCGAGGGCAGGAACATTGAGCCGCCGTCACGGGATATCACCAGGATGTACAGGTGCATATGGCTGGGAATCAGGCTTGCCAAGGTAAGCTTCCTGTGGATAGGAAGATACTATGATCGCGTTAAAAGAGTCATGCTAATAGCGAGCAGTTTGGACGTTGGATCACATATGACCCCAACGAGCGGAAGTTCTCTGCTACCCCATTTGCCCTGGAGCTTGAGACTATTGCCGAAGAACACAACCCCTTTTCCACGCCGAGTGAGGCCAGTCAGGATAGTGCAGGCAACGACGCGCGCGAAACCTGAGGACGGCCTGGCTGGCCCACTTGTGAGCCATGCAAATTGGACGTTTGTGAAGTATCGAACATTGCGAGAGACGCTATCTGGATGGCCCGATTGATTACAATACCACCAAAAGTCCTCGGTGCAATAACATAAAGGCCCGGTATCTGGGCGCTCTAAAAAAGGAGAGCCATATGATTGTGGTGAAATACGTATTGATGCGAGTCCCGTTGAGGCACAAGCCTAGCAGCTAGCTTTTGTCTGCATCCGCTCGGGAGGTCGATCACAGATGAGATTGCCATGCGACATGAAAAGGACTGTCGAGGAGAATAGTGTCAGCCTCCACCCGATCAAGGTTTCATCCAGCAGCTACTCACTCAAGCCTGTCTTGGGCCTCCGACAAAATCTATTAATAGTGTAAGATCATCCCTACTGGTATAGGGAGAGGAGAAGACGGGCGTGAGAGCATTTAGATATACTACTACTCCCATCATGGTGGGGGAGCACGAAATAGAAAACGAAGTCACCGGTATGTATGTAATTAACGAAGAAGCTATCAAGAGAACAAACAGAACAGATGATGGGAGAGATCTTCATATTGCGTAGACTAACCAGCATAATACATACTTACGTAGAGAGCGGAGCGATGAACCGAGCTCGGAGTGGGGGAGCCGAAGCCGAGCGGAGCCTGCAGAACGAATGAAACCCACTGAAAGGACAAGTTGGCGTCTGCAACGCGTCTCATGCTTGGATGCTAAAGGCTAAAGCCCGCTCTACTAACCTATCTTTATCTCACCACGTTTCCCCTTCGGAGCTGCTCCTCCTCCGCCTTCTCCTCCTACTTTATTATTGCCTTGCAATCCTTCCCTCGGTCCCGGACGATGGCCATTGTTGTTCACCGTCATTCTGTTCCGGATCGCTGCTCTTTCTCTCCATGTTAGTGAGGTGATCAATCCTTCAAGACAGCTTCCGTGTCGCATGGCTGGCCAAGATCGGATCGTCTCTGTCCCGTTGAGCACTTGAAGCTCACTTCCCCTCTCCATCCGCTGCCTGTCCGCGATTATCTTCATCCGCTCGAGGCCATCTGTCCCTTCGCCCGACGTCTCTACCACCCCCTGCTCTTTCAAGACTCAACATCATGGCTGAAGGTACCTTCCTCGGTACCTGCGGTCATTGCGCCGAGCTCCTGGCGAACGTTCCGCTCTCGGTCCTCCTCGTTACCCTGGTCGCAACTCTCGCTGGACTGTCCGTCTTGGTATGTTTAGATTTGCATTGATCCTCGGGTTTACTGTTGCGCCTCTGGCTCCCCCGTAAGCTGGGGTGCCCTTGGTTGGCCACGCGATTAGAACAGTAGCGCTAATTAGCGGTCCTTATCCTGTCTAGTTCTACATCACTCTGTACACCGTTGCCCCGGTCCCGCGGAAGCCGTTCCCTGAAGAAAAGAAATATCGTACGCTCCTGAAGAATGGATCGATCACGGAGCCCCTCGATTTACCTTGCTGGCAAGATGCCCTAGACGCTCAAAAACGCCCCGGTCGGGTTCTCGACCACACCTCGATGGAGGAAGCCGACTTGTTCATGTCATTGGTAGTACCCGCATACAATGAGGAAGACCGCCTGGCGGGCATGTTGGAAGAAGCAGTAGATTACCTGGAAAAGGTCTATGGCACGGTAACCAACTCTGCCAATGGCGCTGAGACCGTTACGGCGGAAAAGGCAGTGCGTCAACGGAAACAGGCCAATGGGCACAGCAATGGCTCTGCGACTCATCGTCCGGTACATGACAACAAGGGGTGGGAAATCATTATTGTCTCTGATGGCTCCAAGGATAAGACAGAAGAGATAGCGTTCACATTCGCTCGTGATCATCAACTCTCAATGCACCCCAAGGGCTACGCCGGCCCTTGGACTCCGGGGACGCATGAGGGTGTCCGCATTCCCCCGGGCACTATCCGGGTGGTGTGCCTGACAGAGAACAGGGGCAAAGGTGGAGCCGTCACCCACGGCATGCGACATGTCCGTGGCCAGTATGTTGTATTTGCAGATGCCGATGGAGCAAGCAAATTCGAGGATCTAGGAAAGCTTGTCGCGGCCTGCCAGGAAACCGAGGACGCGAAAGGACGCGCAGTGGCCGTTGGATCGCGGGCGCACATGGTGGGAAGTGAAGCTGTAGTCAAGGTATGCTCTAACATATCCTTTCTCTATACCCGAGATAGCTAACCGATGATTCCCATACAGCGCTCGAAGCTGCGCAACTTCCTCATGCATTCATTTCATCTGATCTTGTGGCTGTTGACACCCTCCAAGACGGCCACTATCAAGGATACGCAATGTGGATTCAAATTGTTTTCCCGGGCGTCGCTGCCGTACATTATTCCTTATATGCACTCCGAGGGATGGATCTTCGACGTGGAGATGCTTATGCTCGCCGAATTTGCCGACATCCCCGTGGCCGAGGTGCCCGTTGGATGGAGAGAGGTCAAGGGCAGCAAGTTGAATGTAATCCGCGATAGCATCGGCATGGCTTGGGGGCTGGCTGTCCTGCGAGCTGCATGGTTACTTGGCGTTTATCGGCGTACTTGAGATATACATACTGCTCTTTTATCAGGAGACCAAAGAGAGAAGCAAATAGAGTAGTGAAGCAGATAACAAACAGCATCATCATCATCATCATCATTGTCACATAATACAATCATCTATTTCGGGTTGAAATAGCATCTACAATCAATACTACTCCTAGTAGTATCCGTACATCCCAACAAAAGTATATTCCAGATCACAGACCGGTTATACTCAGTAATAATATTAAATAGTAACTGCAAGTCCTACCTCAACTAGTAAGTACTAGTAAATATACCAGTAAAAAAAACCCTCAATCATACTGAATAGTAGTAAGTACAAACTACCAGACTTTTCACACAGCTCACCCTGACTCAAATCCTGAATTAGTATGTGCTGATTGTATGTCATGCGAGGCCCCGGTGGCGAATCCCAAAACCGGCCCGGAAGAAGCCTAAACCACTTCCTCAATCCCGTCATTGCATCAGAGGCAGGCAGAACACGATGGGATTCTTGAATCATGCCAGCTTACAGTACTACATAGAGTGCATATCTTCTGATATATTCTTATACTATGTATATGTCTAATGACATCACTGACTATACAACAGTAAACACATAAGAAATCATTCATTATTTGTAAGAGGCAAGACAGGCAACGGTATAGTAGTACTAGTAAGTAGTACTACGGAACCACCCCGAACGGCCCTACCCGAAAGCATAGAAAGGGGAAACCTGAACGAAGGAGGAAGGATAAAGTTTGTCAGTTAAAAGAAACAGACGAAAGGTGGTAAAAAAGTCAATTTTCCATTCCGACTTGGCTGGCTCTCGGTCCGAAGTAACGTGGTTTGTTTCATTCAAGTAAAAAAAAAAAAAAAAAAAAAAAAAAAAAAAAAAATATTAATTTTTAATTTAAATTAGTTTAATACCTGGCTGGGAGCATAGACTATTTTTACTTATAAATAAAAAAAAAAAAAAAAAAAAAAAAAAAAAAAAAAAAACTTTTTTTCGCATCCATGCCAAAATGAGGCGAATATTTTTATTTAAACATGAAAAGACAAAAAAAAAAAAGGGATCAATCCTTTGGAACTGGAAAGAGGTGGTCTGATATTTTTTGTGACCCTCAAAACTTCCCCTCAATTCCCTCCTTCTCATCACACGCCCACCTTCCCCCCCAATTACATTGGTTTCAAGTCACTCGACTCGACTCCTCTACTCACATATACCCTCGGTTATCTATAGCCCGGTCAATTCTGCAGGTTTATTGAGCTACGGTACTAGCTCATTGATCCCAACACTACTGGCTTTTAGCCGTTACACTCTAGCGGTTTTCGGAGGAATACTGCCCTCATTAGCTGGTACTTATTGACGTGCTTGCTTGCTTGCTGAGTGGCTTTCTTCTGCTTTGGAAGGATTCCGGAAGTCAAATCACTACTACTACTTGCTGTGCTGTGGTCTTACTACATATCCATCACCTCATGGTATGGTGAGACAACATCTGTAGCAATATCCGTCCTTGGCAGTGATAGCCTGATCATCGGTTGTTCGGTTGTTGTTGTTACACTTGCTTGCCCTGTGGTGGTAGTATACTACTAACTATTGGGCCAGTGGTTCTGTGGTGACACGTTGGATCTTGTCTACTACTAGTACTACTAATACTTACGTACTGGGGGGTTCTCTCCTTGCGTGGGAGCTGACGTTGTGGAGTGGGTTTATATACTAGTACTTACTCCTCTTGCGGCGTTGGCAAATACGCTACTGAACCCCAGTGTTGCACATCTGATCTATTCTATGTGCTACTATTGTACTATGAGTGATTCGATCTGAGTGGATCTCTGTTTGGCTTCCTCGTCGACGGACTCCGAACGAACCCACTAGCTAGCGTGAGCTAGTACATACTACTTCTTGTCTCTTCACAATGGGAATCCCACGACCACAGGAGCATTGGGTGGATGCTCCCCAGACGAATTCAACCAAACCATCGCCATTTCTCAAATTGCCTCTGGAGCTTCGTCTCATGATCTACGAATATGCGCTGGTCGTTCCAAACGAATTCACGGATCGTCCGATGATCGTGATCAATGACCGCGGGAACGTCTTCACTGCCCGCGGCCGATACCGAGCTCTCTCGATGTGTCCCAGCTGGGTGGGTGAGAACGGTCGAGTTCGCAGCCTACTTTCCGTGAACCGGCAAATCCACGATGAGGTGGAGGATTTCGTGTATTCGCAGAATACCCTTTTCTTCTTGAACTCGTTCAATCTTGACCGTCTGGGCACCTTCCTCGACACAATCAGTCCCACGGCGCGCAAGCGCATTCGCAGCGTCGGGTTTGAGATTTTCTTCTTTGTCCACTCGCAAACAGGCGTGCCGAAGCGGACGTTAAAGGAGTATAAAGCAGCCGCTCGCATGTTGATGGAGAAGCTGCCGAACTGGACAAGTACCATGTTTTACTTAGATCCTCGCTTCTACTTCCCTTCGGCTGCAGTAGGGAATCTGGAATCGTCCGCGCGGGGTATCTGGTATCTGGCGACGATATTTGGAGCTTTGCACAAGGATCTCCATTTCTTTCCACTACCGTCGATGCATCGACATGTTATGGACGATGCAAAGAAATCGCTTCAGGCTGAGACGCGGGCGTCACAGATGAAGCTCTCTATCGCATAGGAACCGGGTGTTATGATTTTTTTTTTTTGGTCAGGATCATCTCCTCTTCTTCCTATTTGTCTACATTAGTAATACTTTGTCTCACTTGTCCTGCCATTTACTTCTTCCGACTGGGGGGGGGGGCGGTTTCCTCCTCCTTCCGATCAGATACCCACTGGGACTATTATCTGCAGGATGACGTTTAGGGAGATCGGTGCGAAGAGAGTTTAATATGTGCACACACTGCGCAGTAGAGTGTCTTAGTCTTGAGGTACTCCACTCTTTGATTGCCAATCATCTCGGAATGTCACGTTGGAGGTTTGGGGGTGGGGGGATGGGCATGAGCACGGAGAATGGGTGTTTTGGTCGCAAACGGGCGGGAAGCGATAGGTTTTGCATTCTTGGAAGGGTCTTTGTTGTTTTGTTTTGTCTTGTTTTCAAGCGTCATGTTTCCTAGTATGGATAGAGCTATTTGAATCAGCGTCATTTGTGGTCATTTTTCTTTTCCTGCAAATTAGGAAAGGTAGCATGATCATAGTTGGTAGATGCATGGGCGACTTGCAGCGGGCAGCAGCAACCGTTGCCGCCCGCACGGTTAGTGTAGTGGGTTAGCTTCAGATCGGTCCGTCTGCTGGACGTACCAGATGATGGGGATTCATTGACCCGCCTGGACCATGAAATCATAGCCTAGAAGGAGGGGGAAGAAGAGGAAGTAGAGGAAGAAGACTACCTGACTACTTGGTGTGAAGGATAGGGGGAATAAAGAAGAAATGAACCGAATATGGAGATGAAACTCCAGGGAAAGAAAGGAGTGACTGTTGCTTCTGTTGAGCATCCAAGCTAATAACGTCATGGCCTGCCTCGTGATCGTCGGCCTCAAGTTCCTTTTGGTGGTTGAAGAAAACAGCCAAATTACATTTCAATCCCACGCTTCTTCTTCTTCTTCTTCTTCTTCTTCTTGACTGCCATTCTTCTTCCTCTTCTTCCTCTCATTGTTCCCTTTCTTCTGTTACCTCCTCTTTTGTTTCCCTACCCCGGTCTCCTTCCCTGTCTGGTCCTGGAAGATATCAGCCTGCTATTAAACCCCCCACGTCTGATATCGAACCACTGAGCACTTTGATCTCCTGGTATATCGAGTAATAAGTGTTAGTAGTGAGTAGTAATATCCTTTCTATTGATTCCATTTTTCTTTTGGGTCCTCCCCGCATTCGGGTGGATCTCTTCTCATCCTGTCATCAATTCTCACCTCAGTCGGTTTTGAGAGAAGATTGGCATAATAATTAATCTCTTCATCCTGCAGGCTTGTTGCTCATAGGCTCTCCCGCCGCCTGATAAATGCTGTGTGCCTTTCGCGCTGCAGTCTGCAGTCAAGCGCATCGTCCACTTGTCCATTCTCTTGTGGTCGCAGGCTGCTACCAGCAACAACGTCTTTGGTCCACGACGCACGAAGCTGCTCGCCCTGCGGATTGAAACTCTGCTTCAGGCACCGGTGGCTTATCAACGCTCGATTGCCCACTCCGGACAGCTAAGTAGTAACTAAGCTCCCCCACCGTTCCCCATCTTATTTGCCACTGGTAGGTTACCCGGTCGGTGTGGTTCCCCGGTTCTTACTTGTCCCTCCCTCTACTCTCCTACCCGCTGTTTAAATGACATTCAGTCGCTCCACGCGCGATCATCACTTGTGATGCTGCTGTATCTAGCTCGGCTGATGTTTTAGCTAGTACCGAACTAAATTCATTCACGTTGTGACTTTTTCGCCAATTGTTCGCTCCTTTCGCCCTCCCCTTACCCCTCTCTCTCTCTCTTTTTCTCTCTCTCTTATTCTCGCCTCTTTATGAAGGCAATCCACCCGACCCAAACTGCCCCGGGAGTGTCTCAGCAACTCCAATAGTCTCAAAATGAAGCCAGCCACCGCTACAAAGTCCCCCAATGGTCGTGGGAGCCTCTACAAGGAGGTTCGCTTTTCGCCTACACCAACTCCCGTCCGTCGAACACAGTCAGTACCAGACACCCATCTCGACTCAAGGCCAAACTATACTGGCGGCCCACATATAGAATCAGCCAGTTATTCAGTTGTAAGCGCCGAGTACCTGAGACAAGTACGGTCGCTCCTCGATCGCCAGCGGGCAAACTTCGAGCATGAGAGGAAGCTATTCAACGAGGAACGACATCTATGGGAGAATGAGCGTGCGCTACTAAACCAGAGGATCTCTGAGTTAGAGTCGCTGCTCAAGGGTAGGGGATCCACAGGGACCGCCGCTACTAGTACAGCCGCGCTCCCGACCGGCACTTTTCAACATTATGCATCATCTGCATTTCACAGCCAATTCAGCCACCCACTTTCGGCCGAACATACTGATTCTTCTCACCCGACAAGTACCCAAGTGTGGGAAGGATCTAGCCCTGGAAGCAAACCCACGAGGGTATTCCCTAACGCGGAGAAGACAGACTTCTCAGGTCTCCTATTTCCGGAGCAAGGAGGCAATCCATCGGTCTCTGCGCCATCCTTGGACGCTGCCCTTTCACCTAAGTCCCATGCGACCGACTTGACCTCGAGCACATGCGTGCCTGTCCCAATTGAGAGGCTTGATAGCAAACTTGACGGGATCACGCTCAAGTCCTCGGCTTTGCCGCCAGAAATTGTCGCTCGAGTAATTACGCCACCATCGCCACCATCCCTCGAGGGCTCTCCATCACTTTCTTCCAGACCCTCTGCTGAGCACCGCAACAGCCTCAAACTGAAACTGTCTGAACTTGGCCCCCCAGAGTTTAACCTGACCAGGAACGCCGGTCACACACCCATGGCTAGGATCGATCGGGACGTCGACACGGAGCAGCCGTCACCCCAGGAGACCGCGAACGAGGAGGAACCCCTCGCTTCGGAAGCGCCTCGGCAACCTGCAGAAAACTCCGACTCGTACTTTGGGGATTTGGCGGATGACCCTGCCCTGAAGGGGCCACTTACTTTGCTGAATGAGGAAGAGCATGATAGTGAGTTTCTGAAGGAGCTTGATCAGAAGCTTCTGGACCAGGTCAAGCAGGCCCTTGGCTATCCCCGAAGCACTGATCAGAAACAGGCTGAAGTCGAGCCCCCCAGTCAGGGTGATGAGCCCGAATTAAGGTTCAAGAATACGACGAACTTTGGTACGGCTTTTGGAAATTCGGACTGTGGGAAGGTGTAGGGTAGAAGGGAAGGATTATCGTGCGGTCGCAGATATTTTGTTGTGGATGTTAACCTCATAAGCTCATAGCCACATTTGGACTATGGTTACGATGGACCCCAGATTACGGGATGGGCCATTATCTTTTTGGACGGATACCATGACTGACGAATATGACGGAACTTATCTCTTTGCATATGCATCGGACACTTATGTGTAAATATTAAAGCTACGGGAGTTTTTTTTCGAGAACAGGGGTTTCCTTTGGTTTTGGTTCTTCGCAGTATTGTGTACATCTGGTCGAACAGGCTCTACTCTCCTTGCGTCCGCCCCCGACCCGGTCAAGCCCCCATCCCTCCCTATCTTATCATCCCAGTTCCCTCTCAACCTCGACACTGCTTCAATAACTGCTACAGGGATGTCACCCTTCGGAGGGGCTATCTCCTGGAGAGTGGCTAGGTCCTCCTCGCCATGAGGTCACCGTGACTATCGGCGCCATTGTCTCGTGGGCCTTGCATGGCCCTTCGGCTGGCCCTATGCTGAGGGATAATGTCCTAGATAGGGTCTTGGAACCCTTGTATACCGCAATGGACGGAGTGTCTGTCTTTTGGTATAAGAAGGCCAAAATCTCATGCTGACATTCTTTTCATCAGAGCATTCATCCGCTGCAGATCACAGCATTCATTCTTTCACAGCTCATTCCAGCCCTGTCTGTCTCTAACTTGGTTATTCGCTCCTTCAACTCCCATAGTTTCCTTCTCTTGATATTTACGTCACATTCTTTTCCTTCTACAATGTACAGCCTCAAGAGCCTTCCGGCACTGCTATGCCTCGTGCTGGCTGTCGCTCCCGTCCTGTCTGCACCTGTCGCTGCTGGAGTATGTTAGACCTCAATCTTGCATTCAAAGTTAAACATCAGCGAAGCTAACACATACTGCAGGATGGAGCCGTTGTGCGAAGACAGAGCCACCACTTCAATACCAACACCCAGTCCGGTTCTAACATGGACTTCTCTATCCCTGATGGCCCATCCTACAACTCTGGCCAGTTCGCCTCGAACGCATATCGCGAAGACCGTGGGGGCGATGATGATAATGAGGGCTCAAGCGAGTCCAGCAACACCAACGCAGGGAACTCGATGAATATCGGCATCCCGGGTGGTCCCAGCGTCAACTTGGGCAACTACTTCAGTAACAACTATGAGGAATCTGAAGAGCCACGGCCAAGGCCCTCGACTACTTCCACTACCACTATCCCAGAGTCCACAACGGCCCCTCCACCTCCGCCAGTCAACCCTCCTATTGAGACTTCTGTTCCTGCCCCTCCTGCCCCTCCTGCCCCTCCTACTACAACTACCACCACTACCCAACCCCCTCCTCCTCCCCCTACAACCACTGCTCCCCCTGCTCCTCCTACAACTACTGCTCCTCCTGCTCCTCCTCCTACAACCACTGCTCCCCCTGCTCCTCCAACCACTACTCCGCCAGCTGCTCCCCCTACCACTGCACTCCCTGCACCCCCAGCTCCGTCTACCCCCACCGAGCCGGCTCCTCCTGCTGAGACCGAAGAACGTGAAGAGCCAGTGCAAGAATGCCCAGCACCGGAGCCTGAGCCACAGCCTGAGCCTGAGCAGCAGTCTCCTGAGCCTCCAGTTGAACATGAACCTTCCCCTGAACAACCAGAATCATCTCCTGCCCCCGAGCCTACCCCTGCACCTCAGCCCAACCCTACACCAAGCCCTCAACCAGAGCCCCAACCTGACCACGAGCCTGCATCCGAGCCCAGGATCATACCCACTCCTTCCCCAGCTGCTCCAGCATTGCCTGCATACACCTGTCAATGCCCTGCGTGAGCTTAACATACGTTTCCCACCACCCCCTTCACTTTCTTTGCCTCTATCCATAACTCTCATTCATGAATTCCCCTGCCCTGCCCCTGCCCCTGCCCCTGCCCCTGCCCCTGCCCCTGCCCCAAGTTTCCTTTTGTCAATCACCATCATTCATTCCCTACCCCCCTTCCCCCAAATCCCATATTTTTTTCCCCTTCGATATACAAATTCTTTCCCAGAGTGGGTCTAGTTTAACTGGAGGCACTGTGTTGTGTTTATTGATTGTTGATTTCGTCTGGATGGTTTCTGTCCCCTTTCATTCCCTCTCATTCATCTTCTCTTTTTTTTTCCTTTTCTGAATCACTGGGTGGTTAGCATATGACCCTTGTAATGTTCTTTGGGTTGTATTAGTACTACTATTCTTATTTACAGTTGATTTTCTTATTATCATGGATATTCAGTGTAATAGGAATATATAGAAAAGACAATAAGAGTATCTTGCATTAATGTCTCGTGATATCATATTCATGTCTCATAATAAACATCGATAATTGTTTCCTCGCGCCAGTGCATGGGGACCTCGGGGGTGGAGAGATATTGCATGGCCACCAATAGAGCAGAATAAGGGACAAGAACGAAAGCAGAATGAGAAAGGCGGATGAAGATAAAAGAGTATAAAATCAAGCTCATGATCCCGTATTAAGAAAACCCCGAAACCAACGATAACAGAAAAAAACAAAACAACAGAAAAGGCAACCCAGTAACGAAAGGAAAGAAAGAAAGGAAGAAAGTAGGAGGCGGGTCCTCTCCAGTCAGTCAGTTATCTAGACCCCCATTGTAAAATCATGCTCAATCCCCGGCGTAACACTAGCAATAAACTTCAAAAACACAACGAGATACTGATCCACGCGAATAGCAACCTGATCTTCCTCATCATGCTGCAGCATCTCCCACTCATCACCACCTGCTTGCCCCTGGCCGCCATGTCCCTCACTCACCGACAGTCCCTTAACATCATCCACTAACCCTTCCAACCCGCCCGCTCCAGCAGCGACCTTCGCATCAGGCTCTGCGTGCGCTGAGGCTGCGGCCTTGAGCTTATCGCGACGGATCTTGAGCGCTGCGTCGGCGCGATCCAGGAGGGTCTTCATCACGGAGGCGTGCCGGCATGGATGCACGGTCGCCATCTTTACGCTGCCTTCGAACCAGGGGAAGTCTTCGAGGGTGACGGTCTTGTCTTTGTAGTCGCCGACTATGTCTTCCATCATTAGTTGGGGCGGAAGGGGTTCAGATGCTGAAAGGTAGCCGGAGAGGTAGAGGCGCGGGGTGCGGTAGAAGTTGGCGTAGGTTATGTAGAGGTTGTAGGTGCGGGTTGGTCTGTTTGGGATTATTTATTTATTAGCTTCGTTGATGCGGTTTTTCTTTAATGTTGCAGATAGAGGAGGGGGTCAACTTACTGCGTCGTCCCCGTCACCGGTTCCCGAATAATCGCCTCTTCATCATCATCCTCATCTTCCATATCCGGAATCTCATCTTCCTCGGGTTCCTCTACCTCGCCCATATTCCCGGCCTCGTCGACTGTCCGTACATCTCCGATCCGAGCAGATGATGACGACGATGCTGCGTTATCGCCGCCTCCCGTCCGCAACCAACCATCGTCATCGTTGTCACCCTCACCCGCTAGCATGCCCCGGACAATCTCGTCTTCGTGGCCTGCGTCCCCGGCGAAGTTGTCGTTTAGCCGTCGGTGACATGGCACACCGCGGGTGACCAGGAACTGCTTTCCGGGCGGAAGGTAGGAGACACGCTTTGCGGGGGTTGCGGCATCGGCCCAGGACCAGGAGGGGAACTTGTAGACGAGGTAGTCGCCTGCGAGGACGAACTCTTCCGGGGTGATCTGGCCGGTTGTTCGGAAGGTTGAGGTGCGGGAGACGGGGGCGAGACGGTCTCGCCAGGTGGAGAGGGTGGAGTGGAGGATGTTCATTGCTTGAGTTGTTTGCTTGCTTGCTTGTCCGTCTGGTTGGTGTTTCGTTTCTTTGTTGGGTTATTTGAAAGGGCTGTTGGTAGAGTTGGTAGGGGTGAGGTCAGGAGATGATATATAAATGAAATGGAGGGGAAGGAAGCTTATCTACAGGAAGATTTAAAGGAGAGAGAGGGAATGATGGGGATGGAGGGAATGGGATTTGGCTGTGGCGGTGACGAACTTATCGGAGTCCCTGGACGATGCACGCGGGGTACATCAGGTGGCTGAGGCTCCGTCATCCACCAAAAGCAACACACTTCTTAGATGGGTTTACTGGACTGGGACACTTTCTTCCCAGAGATCATACTACTTCGCTAACCATGTGGCTTGCCAGTCACTGGACTTTCCTTTATTCATCTGGTTTATACTCAGTGTTCTGGTAGGTGACTGCGGAACTTGCAGAAGGGCCGGGCTCGGTTTTACCCGCAAATCATTACGTAGGTCCGTCCCTTCTTGTGCCATCTAAAGGGGTTATGGCAACCTCCGAAGGAAAAGAGGCCCTGTCACTCGAGTGGCGGGGTTTTCTGCGCCCACGGGTCCTCGGGAAGGCTGGTTGCTATCTCCGATATCTGATCATATCGGATCCAGCATGGCCCTTTTTGTGTTCCAGATACTTTTGTTTTGGAACATTTATGGCCTGTAACCGGGATCTTCCTCAAGCCAGCTGCGCCCGCATGATAGAACTGTCTTGCATGCTGTGTAGCTCTCACTCACCCTCTTCCATCATTCTTCTGCGTTCTATCTCACCCTCCAGCTCGTCCACTGTCATGGGTACCCTCAGGCCCTTCCAATTTTCCATTTCCGCCCGCGCAAATCCCTCCATGCTTCTCATGCCCACCACCAAGAATCCAAGGTCCTCCCGGTCAACGTCGAATACTTCCCACCAGTCACCATCGACGAGCTTGACCCCCACTTCTCGGGATGCGAGGTAGATCGAAGCAACGGCAAGGGCGTTCGGTTGGTGCGTAACGTATAATAGCTGCGGCGACAGCAACGCTGAGTTGAGATGCTCGAATACTCTGTGAGCAACGGCAGAGGATGGAACGCCAAGGGTCTGGAGGTAGGTCAAGGCGATAGTATGAGGGAGAGCCACATGCGTATTGAATCCCAACGTGCGTAGAATGATCGACTCAATGCGCAGCAGAATCAGTCGCTGTGCGTGATAATCGCCTTCCGTAAGGTGGTATTTTTCTGGCATTGCCTTGTCTGGCGACCCCTTGGGGTTTATGAACCACAATGGCGACGCATCTTTCGACAGAAGAAAAGCGTAGACGTTTAGCACCGAGCGGGGAGAGGTGGGTTGGAAGGATAACTTGGCAGTCATGTACAGCGCTGCGGCGGATACATCCTAGTTGAAAATGATCTGTCAGTACCTTTGCTAGTTCGTTCAAAGAGAAGATAGCGACTCTGAATACCTTCACCGAGTATATTCGTAGACTGCCACCTTCCGAGCCTATCCAGAACCGGGTAAATGTCACAATGGCCTGCGCGATGATGTCTTGCGACAATCGTAACAGAACCCCCGCTGTTTGTGTGAGCTGCGCGCCCGCAAATCGGACAGATGCTTCTAGATCAACAGGCACACCGTCGATAGATGATGATGAATTTGTTAGCTGCTCTGGTGTTGCTAGCGCATTGGAAAGGTACTTCAACCCGCTTGCGGCCGAGCTTGCCATGTCGCTGGTGTGGGAATGACGGGGAATTCGTATAGGAATTTGCACGGAGGGTGATCACAATTATGAACACAATAAAAGGAAAGCCCTTTGGTCCTTGATGTGCAGTTGGCTAATCTTTGCAAAGAGGATCTTGTTGCTTCGATCCATAAGCTTGGTCTTGATTGTTGTTCCTGCAAAGCTGCGGCGATTTGAGGCTCACCGCCCGGTTAAGTGAGAGTGATCAACATCGACATGCATCCTCAGGTTCAGAGTCTTAGTACTAGCCCACAATGGACATTATGAAGTAATTTGTTTGTAATATCATGATATAACTAGTTATTGCAATCAAAGTTTAGTAATCCATGATGATGACTACTATATTCAGGAGGTGTAGACCAGGGGGGTGGCATGTATACTACTACTACTATATACTAGCGCCTACTATTTGGAAATATATACCGGAAGTTACTTACTAGTACAGCAGTGGTAGTACTAATAGAAGTGCCAGATGAGCAGACGCTTCAGTTATTTCTAATCCTATACTAAGTAGACCCTGATGTACTATGCGTATAGTATACTTCATACCCTCCTTATCAGCAGACTAGACAATGAAATAATCAGTTGGTAGAGACGAGAGCATGTGACCCCACAAGCCTTAGGCAACCATGCCTCGTAAACCAGAAACGACTCGATGCATCGCTGCAGCTCGAGTGCACGCAGCGCACATTCAAATCTACTATCTATGGCTCGCAGGTTCCACGGTATAAAGCCGACTACGTACATACATATTTCCGAACCGTACATGCCAGACGTCCTTGAGGCCTGGTCTTCAGACTCATTCATCCAGTCGGGTTGAAGGATGGAGTACTGACAACGATCGAACACAGTGGATATTGCTGTGTCCCCCTTATCCTCCGCAAATGATTGCTTAACCCCGAGATTGCTTAATCTCACGGAGGAGAGGATCGTCTGCGAACTAAACCGCATGAAACGGGACCCCAAGAGTCCAGACTCTAAGCACCCCAGGGCCTGCCCAGCAATGACAGCGGAAAAGGGGCATCACCGTTTTGGTCACTGCGTAGGACGTGGCGTCAATGGTATATGCCACTATCCAGTCATCAAGGAGACCATTGCCTCTGCCAGTACTACAGATGACGTCGTCGGGTCATGGAAAGGTATTCATGCGCCGTCTGGAGTCATTGCTTGCCCGGTTCAGGGGAGCTGAGGGAATGGGGCGAATTTGTGCCTAATAAAAGATCATGACAGCACAATATCACTCGAAGGCCATGTAACCACCCGCTTCATCCACCACTCATCTAGCGCAGGGCCTCGTGGTGGAGCAAAGAGAAGGTTGTTCAGCCACCGGCTTTTTGCTGTTTGGCGGAGCATGACTTCTAAGAATACATACCCAACCTCGCGATATTTCGTGGTCCCTTGACCTAAAGGATCCATCACGATTCCTCGTCAGATTGTTGACCACATATCGAACATTCTGAACACCAACTAAGACAGTCCGGCTCTGAATTCTCCAAGATCGCTCCATCCACTCCTAGATAGATCGTGCAGGATCCTCAGCACTCGTCGCTGACAGGGGCACGTGCGGGTACGCCGTCTGATCACTTATCGCTTGGCGGTCGAGTTCATCAACCTGAAGAACATCTGTTACAATCGCGTCCTGTTTCCACTTAGGCTATTGTCCATAACGTATACACCGTCGACTTTCGGCCCATTGCTAAACCGTTTTCACGCTTGATCCTCTATCAATTCCTTGTTTATCGCCCCGCAATCCACCAAAGAAGAGAAGATCTAGAGGGACAGCTTCGGGAGCTACTCATTTCCGTCTTTCTCCTCCCCTCTCTTCCCTCCCCCTTTTGCTTCCTCGCAGACGAGTGACCGCGGCATACGTGACCGTGCATTGGATTGGACGACGAATCGACGTGGCATTCCAGTCCGTGTCCAAGTGGTGCGACCGACCGCGACCCTTCGTCATTCCAGGCCCCATCCCTTCCCACCTACCGTCCAGTCACCTTCGACCTCAACAATGCTCCGCGACCCCGAGCACCCGTCAACTACAGCCACGCCTGCGAGTAGCAATACTACTGCGGAAGTATCCTCGACAGCGGTCGCATCGACCGAAATCGAAGAGACTTGTCAGCCTTACGCCGACAATCAACCTGCCCACCAGAATACCCCTGTAACTTCTTTAGCACCGAGCTCGGATGCGTTATCCCCACTACCGCCGAAACAATATCCTTCACACCCCTCTCACCGTCGGGCGAACACCGAGATTATCCCGCGGCAAGCCCCTCTGCCGTCCAGGAAGCTCTTCTCCGATCAACCCAAAACCTACGAAGACTTGGACTCCGGCACTACTCCCTCGAACCCACCAGTTGAGAACACTGCCAGAAAGAGACTTGAAGAAGGCGCAAAGCGCTTGTCGGGCTGGTTTCAAGGAAAGTCGGAACCGGTCAACTTAGGAGTAGTGTATCAGTCAGAAGAGCAGGACTCGGCCGCCACAGACGACATGGAGAAGCGCGCCAGTCGCGAATTCTACGGGTCGCCCAACGTCCCATCGGGCCTGACAAGCCGAACTCAGAAGCGGATGACTGCGCCATCGCCTCTGAAACAGGTTACATCATCAAGTCCCTTCTCGTTCTTCGGATTAAAGAGACAGGGGGAGAGCAGACCGGAGCTGCCCGAACCTGCCCAGGACGAGTTCTTGAACCTCGATATCAACGCCGCTTTATTCCCGACTGGATTCAGTAATCTGGAAGGTCGGGAAGCCTTTGACGCCCTAAGACAAAACGCAGATACTGTACTTAGGCGGCTGCAGGCTGCATACAAACAGAGGACATTCGCCTTGCATGAAGCTCTGGCCGACAAGAATGAAAAGCAAGAGGAGCTGGAGGTTACTCGGACACGCATCGGGAACCTCAAGATCCAGTTAGATGGCATGGCCGAGAAAGTCATCCAACAAGAAAAAGCGATGAAGGCTATGGCAGAAGAGCTGGAGCATGAGCGGCAATTACGTCGCCGAGAAGAAGAGGCACGTCTGCGCAGCATCACGCTGGTTCGGTCTAGCGACGACGAGAGTACCTCTGACCTGGGGGCTGAACTTCAGACCCCCAAGCGGAGCCTCAAACGCGCCAGCAATGGTACATTTACAAGCGACTCGGGCTTCGATTCAGGAGACGAGAGCCTTGCAGAGAGTGTCTTCTCCCGCCGCGAGGTGCTCGAGTCTCCAGCGTCGACGGTCGCGCCATCCCCCAACATCTCGCAGATCGCCTTGTCTACACCCAGTACAGCTGCTCCTGCACAACAGAGCCAGAAAGAGCTCAAACCAGCGCCAACACCTGCACCAGCACCAACGCCTGCGCGTCCATCTACTTATGATCGGGTTATAAAAGGGCTGACACCGAGGAGCATCGCCAGCTCGTGGACCAACAGCTCCAAATGTAACATCTGTCATGGGGTTCCTTCCTCGGAAGCCTGGAGCGTCATGGGGATCTTGAAGGAAGAGAACAAAGGACTGAAGGAGCGACTCGGGGAGTTGGAGAACGTGATTGATGATTGTCTCTGTCTTGTTGGGCCCTGACAGTTTGGTATGCTTGCTCTACGTTGACCGAAGCGTGCGGATACCAGAAAGCCACGGCCTTTATTGGGAGGAAACGGCGAAATATGACCGTTATACAGTGATACCTTGAGATACCTAGATAGAGTACTTTTTGAAAGAGATACTTTTACTATTTTTGTTAGAATTGTCGAATACCCTACCATACAAACAGATCATTGGTCGTTCCCATCTCATAGTGCTGCATTGTGAACATTATAATTCTTGTAGGGGCGGAGGAAAGCGACCAAGTGGCCTCAACGGGTTAGCGTGGCTGGGTGGGCGCAAAGTGGCCAGCGAGGCGACTCTGGATCGCACCCGCAATCCCCGTCGACCTCATCGCTTCCTCCCTTTCTCCTCCTCCATCCTCTCTCTCTTCCCGTCGTCTTCACTTCTTCTCCTTCTTCTTTTGTAATTTCCCTCCATTCCTTCAGCTGGTTTTCGCCTCCAGCTTTCCTTTCTTTCTTTCCCTCCCCTTTTATTCGAGTAATCCTGCAGCTCTGGGAGGTGCAACAGTCACAATGAGCGGACGTGAGTCTTGCACGCGATCGCTGCCCTTTTCGCGACAGCGTTCTATCTTTTACCTCAATGGGTCAGCAAATGCTGATACTCAATTCTAGTCCGGTTTCTCGATCTCATCAAGCCTTTCACGCCCCTCCTCCCGGAGGTGGCCGCCCCGGAAACCAAGGTTCCCTTCAACCAGAAGTTGATGTGGACGGGGGTACGTGATACTTGTCCAGCTCGACAAGAGCTTCTAAGCTAATGGATTGTTTCTGCAGTTGACTCTCCTGATCTTCCTGGTCATGAGTCAGATGCCCTTGTACGGAATTGTCTCCTCTGACACCTCCGACCCTCTGTACTGGCTCCGTATGATGCTGGCCAGTAACCGGGGTACCCTGATGGAATTGGGTATCACCCCCATCATCTCCTCCGGCATGGTTTTCCAGGTATGTGATGGGAAATTCGCGATTTGAATTCGGATATTGGGCATTTGCTAATATGTGGCTTTTCTGATAGCTCCTCGCTGGTACCCACCTCATCGATGTCAACCTGGACCTCAAGACCGACCGTGAACTGTATCAGACCGCTCAGAAGCTCTTCGCTATCATCCTGTCCTTCGGTCAGGCCTGCGTCTACGTCCTCACTGGTCTTTACGGCCAGCCCAGTGACCTTGGTGCCGGTATCTGTGTCCTCCTGATTGTTCAGCTGGTCGTTGCTGGCTTGGTTGTCATTCTGCTTGATGAGCTCCTCCAGAAGGGCTATGGTCTTGGTAGCGGTATCTCTCTGTTCATCGCGACCAACATCTGCGAGTCGATCGTCTGGAAGGCTTTCTCCCCCACGACCATCAACACTGGCCGTGGTCCCGAGTTCGAGGGTGCCATCATTGCCCTCTTCCACCTTCTCTTGACCTGGTCCGACAAGCAGCGTGCTCTTCGTGAGGCTTTCTACCGCCAGAACCTCCCCAACATCATGAACCTGCTGGCCACTCTCCTCGTTTTCGCCGCTGTGATCTACCTCCAGGGCTTCCGTGTCGAGATCCCCGTCAAGTCCTCCCGCCAGCGTGGCATGCGTGGTTCCTACCCTGTTCGCCTGTTCTACACCTCCAACATGCCCATCATGCTTCAGTCTGCTCTGTGCTCCAACATCTTCCTCATCAGTCAGATGCTCTACTCTCGCTTCTCTGACAACCTCCTTGTCAAGCTTCTCGGTGTTTGGGAGCCTCGCGAGGGTTCTGCCCAGCTCCACGCCGCTTCCGGCATTGCCTACTACATGTCTCCTCCCCTGAACTTCAAGGAGGCCCTTCTTGACCCCATCCACACTGCCGTTTACATTACCTTCATGCTGGTCGCTTGCGCTCTCTTCTCCAAGACTTGGATCGAGGTTTCCGGCTCTGCTCCCCGTGATGTTGCTAAGCAGCTCAAGGACCAGGGCCTCGTGATGGCTGGTCACCGTGAGCAGAGCATGTACAAGGAGCTCAAGCGTGTCATCCCTACTGCCGCTGCTTTCGGTGGTGCCTGCATTGGTGCCCTGTCCGTCGCTTCTGACCTCCTTGGTGCTCTTGGCAGCGGTACTGGTATCCTCCTTGCCGTTACGTAAGTCTTCGCTATTGTCTCGAGTCTTCTGAAGTAACTACTAACATCTCTCTGCAGAATTATATACGGATACTTCGAAATTGCCGCCCGTGAGGGCGACATTGGATCGGGCCTCAAGGGCCTTGTTCCGGGTAACTAAATAAGGCCCCTTTTTTGATGAAAGCATGAGAAGAAGTTTGAGGGCTTATGTTTGTTCTTGCAACTTTCTGTTCTTCTCGGGTAGAGTGCTGTTGTGGCTGGGATCTGGATTATTTAGTTCTTGATGGATGTATGGCTAGTTTTTAACAATTTGCAGGAGGGGAAGATCTTCTCTACGAAGATACGTCCACGCCACAGCTGTACATAGCACCTACCTGGTTTGTAACCATATTGACAAAAGATCTAAAATTAACTTAATTGGCTTGACCATCTGGGGTGCCTTTCTACTTCAACTGCAAGGGGGTGGTGTCTGATGCAGATCTATAACTAAGGTAACAATTGCGGGTATATACCGAAACCACACTTATACACAATCAGCTGCAGTACCATTTCCACTGCAACATCGGTATTCACTTTTCACTCACACTCACCTAAGTCCGGTAATCACCATTAATAGTCACATACTCGTGACTGAAGTCACAGAACCAATAAACCGCCTCCTCCCCACCAAGACCCTTCTCGCCCTTCTCACCACCACCCAGGTCAACCACAATCTCCAAATCTTCCTCCTGCAGAATAACCGACGCGCGATCCTCATCCACCTGCTCCGGCTCGCCGTTCACCAACAACTTCAGCTCCGCACTGCCATCCACAGGCTTGAAGCTAACACTAGTCCGTTCCGGCACCACCGTACCCTCCGCAACGCCCTGCGTGTAGCCAATCGCGCACAGGATCCGGCCCCAGTTCGCGTCCTTTCCATACAAAGCAGTCTTGACGAGCGGGGACCGCGCGATCGTCGATGCGATCAGTCGGGCGGACTCGTAGTCGGGGGAGTTCTGCACACGGACCGTGACGAATTTGGTGGCGCCTTCGCCGTCCCGGACGACGAGTTGCGAGAGAGATTGCGCGAAAGAGGTCAGGACGTTCTGCATGGCTGTGTAGTCTGCGGATGAGGTCGAGGTAATGGGTGCGCCGCCGGCAGCGCCGTTGGCCAGGATGGCGATGGTGTCGTTGGTGCTGGTGTCGCCGTCGACGGAGATGGAGTTGAAGGACCGGGATACGGCGTGCTTGAGGAGCGGCTGGAGGGCTGAGGGGGCAATGGGCGCGTCGGTGCAGAGGACTCCCAGGAGCGTGGCCATGTTCGGGTGGATCATGCCGGCACCTTTGGTCATTCCGGCGAGGCGGTACGTGCGGTCCGGGGACGAGGGGAGGGTGAAGGTCTGGGAGAGGAGCTTGGGGAAGGTGTCTGTTGTGCAGATGGCGCGGGCGGTTGTGAGCCAGGCATCGTGGGTGGAGGAGAGGGTCGAGTGCGCAGTGGGGATTTTGTTGAGAATCTTGGAAATGGGGAGGCTGTTGTGAGGATGGGATTGTTAGTGATGAGGTGACGATGGGAGAATTGGGAGGGGTCGTTACCGTTGACCGATGACACCGGTGCTCATGACGAGAGTGCTGGGCTGGGCGAGGCCATTGCACTCGTCTACCTTGCTGCCCATGCTCACGGCATCCTCCAGGCCGCCTTTACCTGTCACGGCGTTGGCGCAGCCCGAGTTGATTACCACGGACCGAATGCCTTCGCCTTGGGTGGTCTTCAGGGTGTTCTTGCTTGCTTGGACCGGGGCGGCTTGGAACTTGTTGGTGGTGAAGACGGCGGCGGCGGAGCAGGGCGTCTCGGAGGAGATTAGGGCCAGGTCCGGGAATCTGGTGTTGGATGCCTTCACGCCGACGTGGGTTCCGGAGACGGAGAAGCCCTTAGGGTAGGTACCGGAGGCAGGGATATACTTCTGCTTGGAGGCGGGAATGGCCATATCCAAGGGCGCAGAGTAGTAACGCACCTGGCCCTTCACCATGCGGGCGAAGGTAGCCATGGTGGTAGTGGCCGCCGAGTTGGTAGGCAAAGCCATTGGGATTTCTTTTTCCTGGGGCAGATGAGCAGATGTTAGTAAAACTGCTCCCTGCGATTGTGGGAATTTATATTGGAGAAATCCAATGGGTGTGGATGCCTTCTCCAGGGCTGCAAGAGTGTCCTTGGGTATATATACCTGCAGGAGAGAGGATCGGAGATAAGTTTAAGTAGGTAAATGACTCACCGAATTGACTCGCTCGACTTGTCAGGGGCCTAATGACCGCAACTAATTCGCTCAAGGCAAAGTGGACGTGTAGACCACTGCCAGACAAACCAAGTGAGCAGTCTCAATGGAAGAAATAAGAACAGGACAAGCGCAAAGCACCGGAAACAGGAAAGGTGAAGTGATGCGATTCGCGGCGATGAAATGCCGCTCCGATATCGCGGAATCGGAGAAACCGTCGGGCCTGCCTTTGATTGATTGATTGATTTGCTGCGCGTTCCAGACGCGCCCATCGCAGGGCAAAAAAGTAGCCACGAGGGAAGCCGACCAGATCTATCAGCGATCAGCATTCCCAGCAAGCGCGCTCATCCCTCGCGTCCTCTGTAGTGCTCGTCGTTCCTTCTGGACCTCCAGAAGAGCTTTGTTGTGCCCCGAATGGTATTTGCTCTCCGCCATTCCCCCGAAGCTGCTTCGATTACCTCCCCGGACCCATTGACTAAAATGAAACGCAAGCATCCAGAATCCGATGACCAATTCCCTATCTCTACGCCCAAGAGGCAGAGGACTACGGCCACCAATGGCACCGTAAATGGGAACACCAACGGTGAACGTGAACGAACCCCTGAAGCTACCACCACCCCTACGAAACGAGTGAAATCAACACCTCAAAAACCCACGACCGATAACACCCCAGCCGCTCTCAAAGCTTCAGGGTTGAAGACCCCGACACAAAAGGCCAAAGCGAAGAATCTATTCTCAACGCCCACGAAAAAGTCCACTGTTGCAACTCCGTCGAAAGCCCGTGCCGACCGGTCCGCTAAGAAGAAGAGCGCTCGTCTTCTACTCGAACAGGATGACGAAGACATCTGGGACGGCGCTGACCGTCTTGCGGAGGAGATTCTACAAGATGATACCAACGAGGCTCCCAGCAAGGCATCGGCGACAGGGAAAGGTTTATTAGAATCCATCGAGGAGGAGTCTAGTCAACCCGCCGCAAATGGTGCGACAGAAGGAGCACCGACACCCAAGCGTCGTGCAGGACGACCAAAAGGCGCAAAGAACAAGCGTTCTCCCACCCCAGAAGGAGAACTCCCGGCTCATGAGCGATACTTCTTCCAAAACCGCGCCGGACCACCCCGTACATCGAACAACAATCTAGGCAAAGTAAACCTCTTAACGCACGAGGAGTATTTCGAAAGGATGTCACAATACGCAGACCCATACAAACAAGAGAAATCATTTCTCCTCGACCTCCACTGCCGGTCCTTTCCCCAGTGGGACTTCGAATTCGACCAAGGCTTCAATATCTGCCTGTACGGCTACGGCTCCAAGCGCCGCCTTCTCCAAGAATTTGCAGACTGGCTCTACCACCGTCACCACAGCAGTTCCGCCTCAAGCTCCGTAGTCATCGTCAATGGACACACGCCCAACATGTCCATCCGTTCCATCTTCGCCACGATCGTCACCGCCGTCCTGGGCGCCGATATTCCTTCCAAAATGGGCTCTCAGCCCCAAGAAGTCCTCGAATTGCTTCAGTCCGTCCTCAAGTCCCGATCCTCCCAGAAGCCAATCACCGTTCTCATCAACTCCATCGATGCGCCTGCCCTCCGTCGGGCAGCGAACCAAGCCCTCCTTGCCCGTTTAGCCGCTACGCCGAAAATCCATCTTCTCGCGACGGCGGATACCCCGAATTTGTTACTGATGTGGGATCTCAGTCTGCGTGACCAGTTCAACTTCGTCTTCCACGACTGTACAACCTTCGCGCCGTTTGATACCGAGTTTGATGTCGTTGAGGAGGTCAGCACTCTGCTGGGAAGAAAGGGCCGTCGTGTCGGTGGTAAGGAGGGTGTTGAGTTCGTGCTGAAGAGTCTGCCTGAGAACGCGAGGAATCTATATCGGTTACTTCTTACGGAGCTGCTATCCATGGCGGATGAGGGACACATGTCGGATGATGACATGGATGGTGGGGGTAATGGAGGAGGGGATGGCAGCAACGGCCGAGGAGAGGAAACGGGCATTGAGTTCCGGATGCTGTATCAAAAGGCGGCGGAAGAGTTCATTGCCTCATCGGAGATGATGTTCCGGACGCTGTTGAAGGAGTTCCATGATCATCAGATGATCACTTCGCGAATGGATACGAGTGGGATGGAGATCCTGGGAGTCCCATTGGCGCGTGACGAGATGGAGGGTGTTTTGGAAGATTTGGTATTGAGTTGATTGCTGACTGACAGAAAGATAGATTGATAGATAGTATAGTATAAGATAGGCTAGTATAGCGCCTTGCATGGCATGGCATAAATCCATGATACCCTGTATAACACAGAATACTTATTGCAGCATTTGGAGCGTAGTAAGCCCAGTGTTTATCCATCCGCTAGACAAGATACATAGATTCTTCGAGATGCGATACTACCATATCACATACATACCGCATATCTCAACATAGTCTGCCTAGAACTGCGCAAATGCAGCCAACCCCATCGTAGCCCCGAAACTAATCTTGAAGGGAATATGATGCGACACCGTCTTTTGCAGATCCACCCGCTTGAAGTACTTCTGCACCGTGTTGACCGGAAGCAGATTATATCCTCTCGCCGCAGCCCACTACATTCATATCAGTACACACATCACCAATCAAATCCAAACACAGAAAGGGAAAAAGGAATGAACAATCAATCAACCCACCTCAACAGCAACAATCCCCATCCCCAAGAGCACCACCAACACTCTCGAAAACGCCCTCAAACCCATACCAACAACCAACCCCAGCACGCTGCCCAGACTGACCTGGCGCATGTTCGAGGCCGTCAGGATCCCGCCACCAGAAGTATTATGACTCGAGTTCCTGGTGGTGCCTTGTTTGCGCAGCAACGGGTCCTGAGAGTCCATGGCCCAGCCGGAGTCCGGGGAGATTTGGGATTCGGGGCGGTAGTAGGGAGCGGTGTATTGGCATTGCATTGGGGGTGCGCGGAAGGGGGAAAGTGGGTGGAGGGAGAGGGAGAGGCCGACACCGAGGCCGGTGCCTAGGAGAGTGGTTGTTGTGCGGCTGAGGAGGAAGGCCATTGTTGGTTGCGACAATTGTGGTTTGCGATGGATAGGGATAGGAGGGGGCTTGTTTGGGAGATGGGGGATGGTGAGGCAATTGAGTTGTTATTGGCGTCTGATTCTGGTTGTTGGTAATGGGATGGGGTTTGGAGG